AGCTGAACTGAAAGCTTTACTGAGCTGAAACAATGCTAAATCTTATTGAGACAGCAAAGAAAACACCCGAGACTGAATCATTGGTTTGACTGCTACAGCAAATAAGAAACAAAAATGAAACATCTTTATTTGAAATATATGACTGTCTATCTAATGTAATTGCAGGGTTGAGTGTATTTCTATATCTCTAGATTATTTCTAACAATTTGATTGTCTGTGTTTGCTCTTGCAACTGTGCCAGATGGTTTTTTTAAAAAACAGAACACTCCAGAAGGCATTCTGCAGAAACTTTTGAGAACAGGTAAAGCACTTTAAATTATGCAATATTTGCAAACTGTGAGATATATTAATGTCTCCACATTGATTGTCACACAAATTAAGTAAATACAATTCACATGTTTTATATTTAGTTTTTTATGGGTGTTTAGTTTGGATCTCTATTCTGTACATATCCCAATGATGACATCATTTTAGGTTTTCTCCAGATAGAGACTGATGTCTGGTCATTTGAAAAGCTTCTTGAAACTATGTTCTAATAAAGTTCAGAGTCTCTGAGTGAGAGAGAGGGCAATGGCATCTCAGGTGAATTTTATGTGTTTTTCAGACACATAGTGTATGTTTCAAATTAAACCCTTTGTTGTAGCTTTGTCATCCACAAATGAGTTTGTCTCTGCTTTCAATCAACTTCAGATAATGCAGGCCTACTGAGTTGGCTTTCAAAGTGTCAGGAAGAGATGATTTACAGTACTTTTTGGTGCCTCATTATCTAAACACAATACATTATTTTCAGAAAGTAGTGTATTTTATACCAAACAGGACGTTTTTCGTATGATGGTTGCATTTCTCTGTAGAACAAACATAAAACTAATTTATTTCATAAAACCAGCAAACTAGAATATTTGTTGCATGCAAAATATAGTTGTTAAATATCTATAATAAACAAAATGATAAATGGAAAAAATGCCTGGTTCATGGAGACTTCAAATTGTGTGTCATTTCTATGGATATAAATACCACATTTTTTTCTGTGGGTTTTGTATAGCTTCAAGAAGAATATTTTCAACTTTTTCTCCCAGCCTCTATTAGAGGCATGACTGTGGTACTGTGAACTCATCATAGGGCACTTTGTGGAAAATTCAGATGCCAGGGGCTTTGATGAAATTGTGGCATGTTTCATCCCTTTTTGCCCCCCAGGAACTAGGGAGACATTCTGGAATTACATTTATGTATCATATGTGCCTTCCTCAGCCAATGGAGCTTCTCTAGAGAGCACAATGACTTTCTGGAGAAATTGGGTATAGCTTAGAGTTCAAAGTCAAGTGAATCCTATTTTTTTTATCTCAATGGTGGTCATGGAAGAAGAGGTTCTTTAATCAGTATACTTCTACATAAATCATTTCTTGCTAAAGATGTAAAAGTAGTCCATATTAGTTCAAATTGATAAATAGCCCACCTGTCGTCAACTCGAAGAATGTGAGAAACAGTTTACTAGTTTGCTATTTTGGCTCAACATAGTTGAGCCAAATTATGCAGTTCAAAGATAATGCTACCAATACTGAGGAAATTGATATAAACTTCTGATTTTGTGAACATTGATAGATAAATATTTAATATATTATCTCTCTTGTTATTGTGGCATTAAGAAAATAGAAATACTTTTGGTAATTCTAATTGACATGAGAGAAGAATAGATTTAACTTAAGACAGTGAGAAAAACTTTTAATTTTTTATTTGGTGTATGTAAACATGTAATTCAAATTTTAAATGAAGATACTTGTTTTACTCAGGACATATGACTACTTGTGCCACTGACAGGTTTACAGCAACATTTATTGTATTTCGGTCCATATTATCAAGCAACCAACCAGAATTCTTATAATTGTTGAATGGTGTACAGTGAATGCTTGATGCAAGAGTGAGATTGACCCTCCTGGCAGTTTTGACATAACTACTTGGCTTCATTTATTTATTTATTTTTTGTTTGTTTGTTTGTTTGTTTTCTCTTGTCCATCACCCTACTTTGCCAGATGTATCCTATTGTGAAGACAATTAGATTTTGGTGACATGGAATCCTCACGAATGAGTGATGTCCCTCCCATGGTGAAAAGCAGAATTTATTTCTTTCCCTAACACCACTGCACATGTAGTGGGATGAAGATGAACCACCAGCACCACCCCTTCCAAGAAGCATAATTTAATCAAAATTTTGTGAGAGTATTTGGCCGGTACTGTGTGGTGCTGGCAGGTTGCCTTATGTAAGATTATGGGTCTCATTGGTTTTAGCCCCGTGTCAGTAAGCTGTTTGTATGGAGATGGAGAACACACAAGCTCTGTAAATAATGCAAATCTGGTTTTAGGCTTTACTTTGTGTTTCTTTTTCATCATCTGTCTCTGTGGTGCTCTCTGTCATCTTCATTTGTTTTCTTTCTCTTTTCTGCTCTATCTAACTCAAATAAAAATTAGGATTATGCCGTTGTAAACTCAAGCACAACAATAATCTGAACCACCATCTATCTTCATGAATGTTTGTGTATATTTATACATGTGGGGCCAAGGAATCAAACCTTGGTTTGATAAAGAAGTGTACATCATAGGTACTTGAATAGAATGTACATTTCACAAACTTCTTAAAGGCATCCATCAATAGCTGTATAAGATACTTTAATTGAGAAATATTTATTTTAAATGTAAAAACAATACAGTAGTAATACTGTATGAGGTTTAAAAAAAAAAAGAAAAAAGAAATTTCACATTGTTTGCATGTTGTCTACACTCCAATGGATTCTGGGTAAATGACATGCTTGGTCCCTTTACGCTCACCAGAACAGCTGTGAGTAACATTAAGCTTTTTCAGTTTGAACTGGAGTGTGTTGGGATTGATAGAAATGTGGAATCCTCAAAGATTAATGAAGATGATGAAGACCAAATGGAGGAAGAGGACAGAGTTGGCTGAAGAACTTTTTGTTTGTGCTGTTGGGTCTCATTGTTTCATTCAGCTTTGTGAATGAAACAATAAATGACATGTAGCTTTTCGTTTTAGTGATGGAAGATTCTATCACACTCTGTGACCCAGTAAGTAGTTCTGTAAGCTGCGCTATCTGGTCCGGTAACACCCATTTAATGTCCGGTCTTAGGTCTGATGTCCTGTTCTTGGTTTCACATACATTATGGACAAAAGCAAGAATAGTTCCATAATTATTTAAAAGAGTGTCCAGCATTGCCTGTTTGATGTTTCTCCCAGTGTCTTTTCCTTGCTCACCGGCTGCAGGGTTTAGGCATACTGTGGATAAAAACTGTCGCACAGCATTTGGTTTTAGCTTGCAAGGGAAATGACCATGTGTTAGATACTTTGACTCAAAGTCTTCTGGAGAGAAAAATTGAGTGTAAAAATGTAGGTCTTTTGAAAGTTGCGTTCAGCTCTTTCCCACAGTGTTGTTTTTTGTGGGAGGCCATCCAGATTCACCTCACTTTTTTTTTTTTTCTAAATTATTGCCAAAAGCGCCGCAGTGTGGCATTGTCACACTGTCACAGCAGTCAAACGTAATTTGGTAAAAAAAACAAAAAAAAAAAAACAACTCGGGTAAAGATAGCCTTCCTGTGTTTACTCTGTAGATTCCAGTACAGAACTGACCCAAGCTTCACCCAGCAAAACCCGTGAAAAAACGGGAACCTCCACAGTTGAAAAATATAACAAAAGTTTATTATTTTTTTTTTTTTAGATAATTGAGTTTTGGTGTATTGCAAGCAATTTTACAACATATTTAGGCCAATTTCTTCAACTAATTTTGAATCCCTTTAAACCTCACTAGAGGTTTAAATCCCAAATGGATCGGTGATGTGGTAGAAGAGGAGGATAATTAATTAGTGTGTTCATAGCATCATTCAAATAAATTGATTTAAAAAAAGCAGAAAATGTTACAAGATAATAAAAAGATGATAATATTATTAGGTTTATGGAGCATTGTCTCAGCCTTATGAAAGCAACTATATTTAAATCTAGAGATGCACCAATTAGAGATGCCATGGCAAAGTTTCGATGATTGTTGTAATTTTCACAACTGGCAAATTAGACCATAACTGATTTTGATTTCATTGTGAATGATACAAATAACAACCTTATTTTAGTCTATGAATAAAATGAAAGTATCAATGTCTACATAAAAAGATTTTGGTTTAAAAAAATGTCAAAGGTTACAAAAATGTCTATCCATGAAAATCTATATATTCTGTGTCCACCTCAATATTAAAAGATTTCATTTACTGCTGTGTGGTAGATTCTTAAATCATGTTTTTTTTCTGTTTTGTTTACTTTAAGCAGCTTTTCTGTTGTGGTTTGTTCTTATTTATGTTAGGAGCAGAATAAAAGCAGACATCTTGTTTTAATCGCTTGTGTTACCCAGCTGAGCTTCAAAACCATTTCAAAACAAAATGATCAAAAAGTTAGCATTGTAAAGTGTCTAACATTTTATATTTGTACTTATAAGGTTTTTAACTGTGTCATAACTGTGTCAACCTCCCGACCCCACTAGGAACAAGGGCGTAAGAAAATGAATGAATGAATGAATGAATGAATGAATGAATGAATGAATCTATTGTTATATATTCGACTTTTTGTTATTTATGAAGGTTTCACTATGCTTAAAAAGCATGGCCTTTCAAAATAGCTTTATAAGTTTTCCTTTCCTTTCTTGAAGCTGCTTGGACATTTTGTGCTTCCTCTGACTTCATGACCTGACAGGGATAGTCAGGTATAGAATAGGGAAATTCCAGTTCAATTGGATGCAATAAAGTGTACTCCCATAAAGGTTGATCTCTTTTGCATGAAAAGTAAAGAAAAATCAATAATAGTGCTGGTGCTGAAACTGGTTAATTATATTGAGTTGTTTAAAGATTTCTGCACTAGAGCAAAATAAAAGCTGTATTTTGAACACACTGCGGCCAAACATTGTTGAGAATCCAGAAAGTCATAGCTGACTGTGTTGTCTTTCTTTTGTCCACAGAGATTCTCAAAGGAGGTGTGTATGTTGACCAAAACAAGTTCCTGTGCCATGCAGACACAATCCACTGGCAGGACATTGTTAAGTATCCAAGGATCCATCCTATAGTGGTACCCACTAACAGCAGTGTTACATGTAAGTAACTATAAAGGCAGGCCCTCTAATATAACAGTGATTCAACTAAAATTTACCTTGTATTTTGTGCTCTGTTCAAGGTTTCATAAGATTAAAGGGTGTCCTCCCCTAACCCCCCAGGACACTCTTATCCCATATAAACACAGCTATATTGATTTACACTGGAGGATGCATAGTATAACCACAGGTTAATCATTACACTCCAATGCTTGGGTTTAATAGGATACTGCATTGATTTTACATTGTGCTTCAATAACACTGTTGGTTGCATGATTGATTATTAAAAACATCCATACAGAGAACTAGATGTATCTTATTTTTTCTTGTGGTTTCTCATTGCTTGCAAGAGCTAGATACCTCACAATATAAGTTGGAGCACAAAGACTTTAGCTGGAGAGTGAACACATGTTGTGCTGCTGGCATAATCACAACTTCTAAGTACTTCAGACTTCTGAAGTGCTGAACAGATGTCTAACTTCCTGCTTTAAAACTTAACAAACTTAGCAGAGATCAGTTATTTCAGTGATTTGTGTGCTTAGACCAAACAATCTCACTTTTAACTGTTTGTTTTTTTGTTAATTTGTTGTTTTTTTATGTCTCGTAAAAATTCAGTATGTTAATTAACTTAACCGATTAAGTTAATTACATTCTTATAAACTCATATGATGATTTGCAAAATTGTTCATCGCTTTTTAAAACCAGCATGATTATTAAGAGAGAAAACAAATTAGTGGTGGAACTTAATATTTTTATTAAGTTGACTGCAGGGTCTGCAATTCGTCAATCGCAATTTATCACATTTGAATCAAAAATCCTGTATTGTCAAATAAATATTTTCAATTCAAAAGTCCTTTTTGGACTTGCAATGGAAGCATCCATCCTTTACTTAAGGATGGATGCTTCCTTAAGCACAAAAAAGCACAGTTTTATTGTGCTTGCTATTATAAATCATAATCTCCACTTATTCAAATGCCTTTTATGCCCCACTATAACCTGCTGTAAGACATGTTAATGAACACATTGAGTTTTAGTACGATATATTGAAATAAAGGGGGAAAAAAAACAATGTTTAGTCTGTCAGTCAGAAGGGGGGCGGTTGATGCCTGATGTGATTGTCAGTAAGAATAAATTAAGTCACCTCCTCTGCCCAATTTATTTTGCTCATTGAGCCTCTTAATACACTTCTTTCGGTTTTATTAATGCAGTGCTCCCACTGTTTGACATTTAAATTTTCTTGTCAAATCATAAAATAAAATGCCTTACCATTTTTGAAACAAAATACAAAGACAGGAGGCACATGTTCTTGGATTTCTTCTCACAACACTTGCTGGAGACTTCCAATGCATATTAACTACTCATGACATTGATATTCTGCTCAATCCCCCTCCTCCCTGCAGCCCTGTTAGCCTCGGAACGACCCCGACTCCCATGTAAGTCATTTCCCCGATCCAAAAGATCAAGGGTCTCCAGACTTCTAATCCACCATTGAGAACATCATCTTCATGTTATTCTTTGAGGGCACAGAAGCTTTATGTTGTTACAATGTTTATCCTATCCGTGCCAATATTTTGTTGTCTTTTGGTTTCTTTTTGAGAGAAGAACTTGATTAAAAATTCCAGCACTGATAATATGGACGGACAACTTTTCTCTGAAACATCGAATAAAACAGACACTAAAACCGAGACTGGGAAGAAGACACAGAGATTCAGAGGGGAACTGATTGAATCAAAGATAGGAAAACTTTCAATGAAAGAAATGAAAATATTGCAGAAAAATTCAAAGAGTAGCAAGTAGAGGATGGAGAGGCACACGGTGGGCACACAGTGGGCACTGGAGTCCATCAAATGCTAATAGCTCTCATCTGAAGAGGCTGATGGATAAAGGGCAGCACTTCTACTCATTCAGGCTCAACTCCCACAGTTAGTCATTTTCTTGAAAGGCAATTAAGTCCTTAAAAATGGAGAAATCCAGTTGCAGCACTGAGGATATATTTCAGTGCTGTTGGTTGTATGTTGTTTATATGACTTCTTATTACAGTATTTTTATAATGTGAAACACTTTGAACTGCCTAGGTACTGAAATGTGCAACACAAGTAAGCCTGATTGATTGACTGATTTCTTATTGCTTGTCCATTAATTTAACCTCCCTCTATTATTACAAATTTTAATTTAACAAAATTATCTCACATGCCCAGAATGCTGAAAATGTCTTTAAACCAAAGCAAAATCTTGAAGAAAAGAATTCAGCTAATTAAAACTTTTTTTCACATGCTCAAGTTGAAACACAAAAAAAACACAGCCAGTTGTACTTGTAGTCACAGTTCACAGACTCCAGATTATAGTTTCTAAAAGTGTAGATAATGTTTTCCTTTTTCATTGTTTTTTTTTATTTATTTTTTTATTACTATTCTTTCTTGCAGGTCAAAGATGTCATCGTTCCTGTACTGGGCGCTGCTGGGGCCCCAAGGAGGACCACTGTCAAAGCTGTAAGTTCAGTACGGTAGAAGACAGGTATAGCTGTAGCTCATGTTAAGGAGGTAATAAAGACCAGTAATGCCACAAAGCTCAAAGTCCAACACAGAAAAAAATCCTGCTTTCATTTAAATAATTAATTTACATATTTGTCAAGGACAAAAACAAACTTGACATTTGATGTGCCACAATTACTCAGTGCTGCAAAAACAAGAGCACTATTTATTATAAAAGAAATGATTCCTTATGTTTATTCTGCAAATATATATATTATGCAAATATATATGTTGCTGGCTCCACCAGACCAAGCAAAGCGGGAAAAAAAGGAGGTGAACAGAATCCAGTTATTGTTTGACACCAAATAAACACTCTGTATTTTTTTGATAATGTTTAAGACTATCCTACTTCAAAGTAATTGTAGATTTATACTAAAAGTAGGACTGGAATTTTGGAAGTATCATTAATGTTTTGAAGCGCCTCAGCTGGAGTCTCAATTGAAATTAAGTCCTTCAAAGATTTGGTGCTCATCACCACAAATAAATAATCAAAATAACAGTGTAAGAGGCCAGTCAGAAATTTTAACAATTGTTTGATTGCTGTGACGACAGTAGATAACTTTGTGTTCTGATTGTTGAAAATAACTTTTTTTTTTCATGCCTTTTCTCTTAAGAGATCCATATCTTATTTTGGTTAAATGACAATAAATTTAAATATGAATTTACCAGTTGTATAAAATATTTGGGGCTCAATTACAATTCAGAATAAAATGTAACTTTTTGTTGTTGCTGTTGTTATTGTTACTGTTATTATTGTTATTATTAAATGTCTTCTTACTGTAACCACAAAATCCATATTATGACTCATTCATACAATGATTTCTGTCTATACTGTTAAAAGTGGTATGAATGTGGTTTTGCTAAAGCTTTTGTATAAAATGAAACTAAGCAAACATGAATGCAATAGATTTTTTCTATTCAACAACTAATATTTTTTTAACACTTCATATGCAATAGTTTCCACAAAAAGCATTTTTTCTAATTGGATAAAAATGTGATCTATTAAACAGGAACTGAGCAGAAGTATCTAATTTTGACAAGTCAGATTACTCACTTTCTCTTTAAGTTTGCAAGCAATTCTAGTGGAAATTAAAAGATTTTTTCCTTGGAAAAAAATGTCTCCTTCTTCCAATCACTCTGTTCTCTGACATCTCCATTTATGCTTTTATATCCTGACAGGAGTTTGTTATGCGGCTCTGATCTCATTACGATAGTTATGAATAAACTATTTCACCATGTAAGGTTGACAGAACGTCACTGACTCGGTCCAGATAAGCCCTAGATCTGTCTTTCTGTGGGTGGTCAGCTGTTATCACAGTTTACCTCCTGTCTGCAGCTTTACATTCTGTGCATGGCATTATCCAATCTTCTTTAATTGCTTTCCACAAAATCTGTATATGTTTTATGTTCAATTAAATTTAATAAATTAATTGTGAAATTGTTGAATTAAAAAAATTACTTTCATTTTAGCTTCTTTGAAAAACATCAAAATTTAAACTGAGAAAACAGTGTCATTGTTCTTACATTAGTCACAGGGCAAGGAGGGGCTGGTTCACCTTGGACAAGTTCATAGCTGATATTTAATAAGCGCTTGGTAAATTTACATTTTGCTTTTCAAATTAAACCCTTTCTGCTGTTCATAGTTATACTTTGGGTCTAACATGATGATAATAGCTGATTCTTTAGTTAAACTATATAACTACGTATGCTAGCCTACATTCTGCCCCTGTATTGCCCCTGTATTGCCCCACCATGCGGACTGTGCACTGAGCATTGAAGATGTAGTTTTAAAACAGCATGAGTAACTGGTAGCACTTTTTTTTTTTCCAAACAATGACTATTTTTGTCTATGGAAATCTTTCCATACAGCCCAAATGTGTGTTTCTCGTAACAGAACCAAAACTGCAGTAAACGTCTGTCAGATTGTTGAATGACAAAGTGCAGTAAATGGGTGGGGGAGGGGAAGTGCTGTAAAGAGCTCGTACACACAACCAGACAAAACTCTGTCCATGCTGGCACTTCCTGGTGGTTTTAAAATCATATAATATTTTAAGAAATTATATACCTTGATCCAGGCAGTTGTCAAATAAATACACTGGATAGTTTCTTTGCAGAGTTGAAACAAAAGCCAAAATGTAAACAAACACCGATTCCAGGGCAATGCCAATCAAATGGTAAACTCATGTGCATGTTTTTGAATTGCAGAAAGTAACATGCAAACTTATTACCTATTCCTTTTAAGACATTCAATGGAAAACAATACACACTATAGTTGGTTTTAAAGTTTGGATCAAACTATATTCCAATTAAACAGTATTACTCATTTATTAATAATGTTTTAAGCTCTATTTGTTAGATAAAATGAGCCAAAAAAAATTTTGTTTTCTGTGTAACTGAAATACAATCAGGCTGATTGGAAGTATGAGGTAACTGCTAGTTGAATTCTTTAAGCCCTTTACTTCAAGGAGGGTTGAAGTATAACCAACAGCATTTGATCTATATTGTATGCTCATTCAGTAGAAGGACATTAAGCTTTAATTCAAATAAAAATTTAACAGAATATTTTATTACAAGAAGACGATGTTAACTACAAAATGTGGTTAACTTACACCTTTTATCCTTTGAAACATTTCTGTTTATGGCACATACTTTTTTTGTTATTTTACTGCAAAAGTGGGGGGAAAAAAAGCAAAGAAAATTTTTGCTCATGTAAATAGCAGCTGAAAGGCACTGCCTCCTGTGACTGATGCTGCTGTCCACAGTCTGTTCAAATGGAAGCTCGCAGGCATATTTCATGAGATGGATTCTTTCGGTATTTGTTGTCACCAGGCACTATTTCTTTTTTTTTTTTTCGTAAAGTGGAAGTTTTAAAGCCAAATTGATAAACAACATTGCATCTCTTACTCTTACTCTTGCTCTCTTTCTCTTTCCTCTCTCTGGCAAGGTCATTTGTTTGACGGAGTGTCTTTAAATGAAGCAGGCCATTTCATTTTAGTCCAGGCACCGTTAATAGAATGACGCTGATGGTACGTTCGGTGTGGGGTGAAGTGTGTGCTCTTGGTCACATTTTTCGTTTTGGTGACTTTTCCAGCGGGGGTATCCATCACGCTGATAGTATCTCGTCAGAGTAACGGTGAAAGACAAATGGGGCATCCAACAAAACATCATGAGCCTGGATTCAAAAATGCAGAGAATTTTACTTTCTAGTTTTGTGTTGTTAATATGCTATATTGATATATAACTGTTACATGTAATTTGTAGTTTTTGTAGAGTAATGTTGAAGAAGAAAACAATAAAACCTATAAAACATGACATCCATATTCTGCAACTGAAAACTCAAATCAACAGCTAAGATGATTAAAATTTGGGCATAACCAACTGTTGGAGGATTAAACACATTAAACCAGGTTTTGCGATAGTCATACCAATGTTGAGCTTCTAGGAAGTCTGAAATCTGAATTCAAATTTGTATTCTTAAAAGGTGGGTCCCTGCCTGAAAGATGATCAGTTAAATACATTTTTCCTTTTTTGCTAGAAAATCTACCAAGAAAGATTCTTATTTGAGGTGCTAAGGGACTTAGGATATTGGGGGGTGTATAAATATGTTTGCGTTAGTATGTATAGTTTTTAACCCAATATTGATAAAAGAAAACCAAAAAGAAATGAAATACTAAATTCTAAAAATAATTTTGGTTTTTATAATTGATTGATGAGTGTTGTAGGAAAAGTTTTCAAATTCTTGATTAAAAGACATAAATGTAAACTTTTAAATACAATTGAATGAAGATAAAACATTACATGTAAAGATGTAACATACTTAACTCTGCAGAAAAAAAGTAGAACATTTGTATTATCCTCAAAGACAAGTTTACCCACTCATTGCAGGAACTTTTCTTGTGTGTTTTGTATTACTTTATAAATAAATAAATAAATAAATATATATATATATATATATATATATATATATATATATATTTTTTTTTTTTTTTTTTTTTTTCCTGATCTCTCACGAGTCCAAAACCTCTAATTTATGCTGCGCCCAATATTACTTATCTTTGTCTGCAGCATGTTCAATGTGCATTGACATATGGCTGCTTGTAAGGGAGGAACGCAACCATACGGTTGCCCATATGATTGCAAAAGGCACATGAGGAAAGGGACGGGCATCTCTCCATTGTGACAGCAATGTACCTAGTTATATGGAAATCAGTACATCTCTGTCAGATTCAGCGATTAGACCCTCAGGTGTGCTTACAGGCAGAGGAAAATATGGTTGAACATGACAGAATATAGCTTGCTAAGGAAAAGAATCACAGATGCAAATACACAAACACTAATCCTTATAAAGTCTTGCCAGCAATAGAAGCAAGAAGACTTGAGCATTGTGCCATTCATTTCAGCAGTGTATCTAGCACCTGTTCAAATATGGTTGTCAATTCACCTATTGTTTTCAGTGTAAATAAAGTTTTACCAATGGCTGAATGGCTGTGTTCAGTGTATATGAATGTCAGAGAAGACAAACCAGTATGTTAAGCTACTTTCACTACTGGCTGGATTTTTCAAAGAACAAATTATGCATATCTGATGTCATTTAACAGATATATGTGCACAAAGGATGGTGTTTACAACAGGTTGTGGTCTAAAGCCTACTGAATATGTCTTTTAATTATTTCCTACTTTTGTGGTTTCACAGTAACTAAGACGGTGTGTGCTGAACAGTGCGACGGTCGCTGCTTTGGTCCCTATGTAAGTGACTGCTGCCATCGTGAGTGTGCAGGTGGCTGCTTTGGCCCAAAGGACACAGACTGTTTTGTAAGTGGCGTTTTACATTGATCAAAACCAATCACTTCCAATCATTCCGAGTACTGGGGAAAAAGAAAAAGATTAGTTGATATACAGTAAACCAAGTAATTCACCACATTGCATTTTTTCAGCATTAACCTCAAAGACAAAAATCATCCTTAAACTTTTTTAGCTTGCAATAAATGTCACTTGTATGGTAAATGCATACAAACTTTGGATAAAATGACAATTTTTCAAAGTAAAATCCTGTATAGAGTTCACTAGTAAACCTTCCAGTCTTATTCTCTTTGCTTGGTAAATTAGATTTTAAAGCATTTTTTTGTATGTACTACAGTTTTAGGATGACAAATCAAGCCTCTCTTGTTCATTAAGAAAGTATTTGAAGTAGTCTCAGTTTATGTCCAAATTCATGTATTGCCACTTAAATCAATATGATGGTTTTATCTTAATAGTATCAAAAATTTTTTTTGGTAGATTCTAAATAACATGTTATTGTCTGACTGGCAGAAACAATTATTTCGACACTTGTGTCCCTCTGACTTGCAGAAATAAAATGTTTAATGAAAAAATAAAAACAAGATTTGTTACAATGCATAATAAAAGACAGTAAAAATGTATGTCTATATATAGAAAAAATGTGTACATATATCTATATGAATTACCCCTTTATAAACAAGCTGAATGGAGAAGATTTTAATTGAATTCCTAATCAAGACAGGCTTGGATTTTGCGGTAGAAGTTGATACTTTATTTATATCATCTTAAGTTGTGAAGATAGCTAGGAAATACCATAACATCGCCAAGAAATATGTGTGTAGAATTCCCCCCAAGACATATTTATACTTATAAATCCATGTATTGGATTTTCCACCAGAAATTGCGACATCCTTTAACTGCTACAAAAAGTCAGATTTTGTTTTATTAAGTGATTTGATCAGTTTAAGGTAAAGTATGCTCAGTCTTTGCCGTTTGATAACGCTTTTCCACACTCCTGAAGGAAACTGGTATTCACATGTGGTATAGTCAATATAAATTTGAGATTTCTGAAATACCTTCATGTTTAACTGCACCATCACATATTTATTCACATGCTGCAACAATCCTGTAACCAGTTTCAAATCCTATTTTATGCAGTGTGCTGCAGCACTACCATATTAGTGCAAAACCATAAAGATTTGTGTCTTTTTATTTATTTATTTATTTTTCATGAAATGTAAATTAAATAATGTTTAGGTGAGGTAGCTGAGTCTTTATCTTTACAGGCCTGCACAAACTTCAATGACAGTGGAGCGTGTGTTACACAGTGCCCTCAGCCATTTGTCTACAATCCCACCACGTTCCAACTCGAACACAACCCGAGGGCAAAGTACACCTATGGAGCCTTCTGTGTCAAGAAGTGTCCTCGTGAGTTCCCCCACCTGAGTATACCAATGGTTGTGTGCCTTGCAGACTTATTCATACAACTGAATTTTTTCCCCAAATTGTGATATTACAATCAAATAACCTCAGTGTGTTAATTGGGATTTGATCTGGCAGACCAAAACAAAGTAGTGTGTAAATTTGAAAATATATTTTTATATCATATATTTTGAAAATAATATGTGGCCTGTATTTGTATGCGTATTATACCTAATTGTAAAAAAATATTTAGAGCCATAAAAACATGGCTGATTATTACATTTTATTTTCTTACATATAATAAAAACAAGATTATCATTTTTGTTTAATTCCACTATAGGATCAGTAAAGAAATTATGAATTTGAATTGTTATTGTTGTTGTTGCTGTTAATGTTGCTTGCAAACCACTAGATGAGATGAGAGAAGCTCATCTGTTGGGTCTGTTGGGTGTGAAAACAAAAAAATAGCATTCAGATCAGAAGTCCTTAAAATCTTGTTTTAAGAAACAATGTGGTGATATTAAATGCTCTTATCAGTATTTGGTCTATGAGCTACAACAAAACTTGAGATATTAGGCGATAAAATATCTTCTATTCATATGATCTAATGTTTAGTTGTTGTTTTTTTTTTTTAATAAATGTTTTAATAAAAACTATATTGAAATAATAAAATTTGAACAACTGTTCTGCCTTTTGACATTTTTTTTTTCACCACATTCCTGGAAGTTAACTTTTCATTCATGGAAAACGTTAAACCAAAGTGACTTTTCTGCAGTGTGATTACCTAGACTCCTGTACCACTTATTTTACCACATGTTCTTTGGTGACAAACAGCAGCCATTTGTGTTTGACATTTACAGTTACTTGTTTTTTTTTCCCAGATAACTTTGTGGTGGACCACAGCTCCTGTGTAAGAGCATGTCCTAGTAACAAGATGGAGGTGGAGGAGAACCGCATTAAGATGTGCATCCCTTGCACGGATATCTGCCCAAAAGGTAAAATAGAAGAAATGGCCAAAGTTGTAATCATTACAGACAGACGTAAGTATTGTAGCAATTTCTCAACTTATTTCAAAGGAATGTTATTAAGGCAAATGAAATGTACATTTCAATTCTTTATTTCTTACAATTCCTTGTCCATGTAGCCTGCATTTATTTGTATTTTTGTTTCCACATAGGAACTTTGTTGGAACTTAGTTTCAAAATTCATATTCTGAACAAACTATAAGTCTATATTATTGTTGGATGTTTACATAAATGATAAAATAATCAATTGAATGATTTTTTTTTTTTATTTTCTCTCTGTGTCGTGCAGCATGTGATGGCATAGGCACAGCCAGCCTCCAGACAGCTCAGACAGTGGATTCAAGCAACATTGACAACTTTGTCAACTGCACCAAAATCAATGGCAACCTGGTGTTCCTTATTACAGGGATTAAAGGGTGAGAGGATTCAGCCTATTAAAACGATATTTAGACTCGTTAAGAGTCTCAAATGCACCATTTGGTACTGAAGTTCATCTTTAAAATGGTGATGGTGATTGTAGAAAATTGAGAAAATGATTCCACTCCAACCCAGAGAACATTACGTGGAAACATTTACACATCAGTTGTTTGTCGGCAAATATCGAACTGCCAATGTTTGTCGTAATAAGTCTAAAACCTATTTAAAAATGTAATAAGTCTAAAAAAAGTTAAAAGTACAAACTCTTTTATGAAACAGTTATAACAATAAACCAGATGAACCGAGAAACCTGTCATGCCGGCTAAATAATGGTCAGAAATATTAGGATGTTTGAATCAATAAATTATCTACTTCTAAAGGAAAAGAAATAAACATTTTTATTTTCACTCTCCGTGATATTTTCACCCAACTGGGTTTGCCACTAAGTTTCACTGCAGTGTCAATGGAAGTGCATTGACACTTTTAAAAGTACTTTACCTTTTTTCTTTTTTTTCTGACTTTGCTCTAAATATTTCAAATCTGACTGTGCAAGCAATCCACCTTCTATATGGTTGTCAAAATCTGGTGGTGAACACAATTTGAAGTAAACAATTATTTATTTTATTTTGAACATGATAGAAGCATAAAATCACACACAGGAATGAGGAATGCAAAAGACAAGCATCTTTGCATTCGTTGTTCATGTATATCATTTTTGTACCACGAGAAATTAAGGTAGAAATTTCTTCTTCATTGTTTTGTCTTTTTCTATTCTGTAATTTTTCTAAAACATTTTAATATATAATTGTTTCTCATAGGGATGTCTATCACAACATCGGACCTTTAGATCCAGAAAAACTCAATGTGTTCCGGACTGTTCGAGAAATCACAGGTCAGTACATATTCATCACTGCATAACGATATGCCAACTTCATCACTCTCACGTTATTTTTTTTAACCTTACCATTTATGGCATTTTTATAATATATGCAGTTCAGCTGGGTTTGTGTGCATGTGTTTGTTTGCTCAAGTCAACCCTCTCCCTTCTCTCGAGTCTGTCCACCCCAAGGACAGACAACGCAGCATAAGATGAATATTATATGAGACTTTCAATCTCTTCTGTCTCTCCTCTGCTTCTCCCTTGGGGGCTCTCTAGCCTTGAGTCCCTCAGTCCCTACTCTCCCTTCACGCACTATGAAGAAAAGATCCAGAACATGCGGTGTGCATCGGTAATTGTCCAGCTCTCCTGTGCCACTGCCACTTTTGAGCTTTGTGTTTGCTGTCATTTTTCCAGCCCAGACATGCAGCAGTGCCAGCAGAACATTACAGCCTGTATCTGTGATGTCACCTTCCCTCCTAAAATAAAAACACATATGTGGCAACAGATCTCATATATCCTTAGTAATGTTTTTCATCTATCATGTAAGTGCATATTAGGAGAAGCTCGATGAAATAAATCTCAAGCATCAGAAAACAATAAGTCAGATGTTAAATTTGGTTCTTATGGAGTCTGAGTTGACTAGATTGTTGAGGGTTAAGCTTTAAAAAACGTTCAGTGTGCATTTCTCATACAGATTACACAAAGTCGAACACGAAAACGGAACGGCTTGAACATTTTTTATATTATGATTGTGGCACTTGAGAACTGAAAATGAGACCAAATGTATTGAACATCTTTTCACACTGATTTAAATTGATAATACATAAAAAATAAATAAATAAATTTGACGTATTTCATGTAGAGCATTTTAACATTTTGCAAAACAAGAATTTGTCTGTGAAAATCTTGTTCTAAAATGTTTTATTGTAACACCTTCATCTCCATTAATCATTTGTGCTGACAAGCCAATTTACTTACATTCTTTAATTGTGATTAATTGCTACACATGACCCTCCAAAGGGGCAGTAGTGGTACCTTGGCAGCACTTTGGACTCCCCCGATTTAGGGATTTCTTCAAAGTAAAATAGTTAAGTGATCCTCTCAAGTGTATGATCCATCACTATGAAATGTTACAGGAGAATAAGTGCTGCCCTGTTGACAAAAAGGGGTTTTCCAGGGCTTTGATAGCAGAAGTCACTTGATGATTCAGGACACTCGGATTATGACTACTATAGCTATAATGTGCTGGAACTGATTTGGAATTAAAAAAATAATAATAATAAATAATAATATATATATATATAACTTTATTTTGAGACTTTAGACTTCCTTAATAATTGCGGCAACCAGGTTCTTAATGTATGTATATTAAATGCATGTTTATTTATTTATTCTTAATGTTATTTTTTTTTCCATTTTTTGGTGAGAGATGGCTGGTTGACAGCAGTTGATGGGGCATAAACCTGTGGCCATGTACTTAGACGTTTGTGTCAGCACAACTTGTCGTCTCCCTGAGCTGTCAAAAAATATGGCATCTGACAGAAGAAGTCAACCTGGCTTTCTGACCCTTAGGTCACATTAACACTGCCTTAGCTTTCAAATGAGTAGGATAGGAGGACATCTGTTACCATCCACATTCACACCTTCATATTTTGTTATTCATTATTTTGCCTTTGAACCGTATTTCAATGGATCTTATAAACGTCCAACCAGATCATAGCTTATTCAAAGAGGGCAACAAGTGAGTAATCAAGTTGTACAATTTTCCATAAGGGTTTATCAATGTTTTGACTCAGACCTGTAATCACCACAATGTAAGCCATCTTGACCTTTAGTTATGAGCTCCTGGTCCTCTTTGCTAAGAGCCTCCACAGAGCAATTTGCTGTGTGTGGTCTGGTGGGTTTTTAATGCGGCTCTCAGCATAACATGAGCCACTTCTTCATCTTACAAAATCAGACATTGTCAAACCTGAAGAGATGGGAAATGGACAGATCTATTAGATGACACTGACATAAGATTGTGTGTCTACTACCATTACACAATGTGCACATCAGGACAGGGTGATAGGAATTAGTCTTATAGAAAAAACTGTATTAAGGCATCATTTAAGGGGATGAGTCTGATTCAACAAGTGCTTTTACTTTGATGAGGTATCTTAATAAATATGTGGAGTTCACAACTGGATTTGAAAATGTGCTGAAGAACAGATTGTGTCAAATGTAAATACCTTTATTAACATACCATCCTTTAATCTAACTGTGGGGTTACCCAATGTATGATCCATCACTATGCAATGTTACAGCACAATAAGTGCTATATCTATAAGTTATTTTAGTTCTTTAGTTTTATTCTCATACATTTTTACACAATATTAAATAACCAATAAATGGTTTATTATCATTTCATTAATAATATACAATGAAGCCCATTTTTTACTCCATTATGGAGGATGCAGATGAAGCAGTATCTTTCTTTGAATCTATGAGGTCAATTGGCATTCAAGATATGAGCCATTCATATCATTTATCTTCATGATCATATACCAATTAGATATGCCTGCCAAATCTACAGCTGTTGGTGGTCAGGCCAGTGCAATTAAGTGTTGTAAGCATAATACAACTCTGGCGCTAGTAGATATAGTAAATTTTAAATTAAAAGGAAAGTGCAGAAAATTGCAAAAAAAAAAATATATATATGTATATATACATACATATAACAATTTTTTTATAACTGTTTTGATAAAACAGTTATCAAAAACTTGCTCTTTCTAAATTAATCCAGCTAAATTGGAGAGTGTTGGAGAGCCTGTTCAACCACAAATTTCAGTTTACTTCTGAAAGGGAGTATTGTTAGCAATTTGATGAAAACTGATTCAAATCAACTTTCTATTTTCAATTAAATACTATGTTTGCATTTAGAGGGTATCTTAATGCACATAAAACACGCATTTTATGTGTGTTTACGTCAACGTATGGTGGATGGATTGAAGGCAAGTGATGGACTCATACCTAGACTCAGCAGATTAATTAATAAACAAAACGTCTTTGTTGACATATTCAGAGACAGAAGTCAGTCATCTGTCACTTGAAGGACATTGCCAGGATTAAAGGACAGTCCAAGATTTGGAGGAATCCATCCATGCATTTATCTTTGATTACTGCAAAAGTGTCCTCAGAGGTCTGCCTAAAAAAGAAAGAAATCTACCTTCAAGCTGCAGCTGATTCAGAACTCTGCTGCTCTGGTATTCACAAAAACTAGGAAGATGGAGAACATCACTCCAGTTTTAAAATCCTTACAATTACTCCATGTAGCTAAGAGAAAAGACTTTGAAATACATTTGCTGGTTTATAAATCACTGAACAGTTTGGCACAAAAATACATTAAAGATTGCTGTTGTATCAACCTACCAGACCACTCAGGTCTTCTGGTTCTGGTCTGTAAACACTGATTACAAATATTTTCTCAATGCTGCTGCCGTTCAGATGGGATTGACATTACAAATCAAATAATGTCTTCAAACTGATAAAGAGGTTGTTCAAGGTTATTGCTCTTTGTTTTCAATGAACCACTTTTGGATAAACAATATTATGCACCCAGTGGGAGGAAACTGTAATATGATGATGTCAAATACTATTTATTGATTGAAGAATGTGCTATACATCCTAAGGCACAGACTGTTGTTTTTTTTGTTTTTTTTTTTTTTTTTCTTTTTTAATTGCTATCCACCACCTTCTGGTGGTTGTACTTGGTGATTAATGCAGCTTGTGCCCTTTATGTTTTCTTCTTCTTGTGTTAAAATAATTGCTGTTAATTATAGCTTTTTTGTATTTGCTAAGACATTAAATCCTTCCATTCTCTTCATCCTCTCTTGACTGTATTATCTCTTCATTGTGGATTTAGCCGGGGTTTTGCTTCCCTAACCCATAGTTTTGTTTGTCTTCTGGTGTTGGCCTGGGGATTGTACTCACCCACTGTTCTTCTACTAAATATTTTATATTTCTGAATCCATTATTGAAAATTATAAATGAGCCAAGGCCATCGTTCCAGCTTTTCATTTAATCCCTTAAATGATTCAACAAAGGAGAAGCAGAAGGAAATGCAAAAAATTTTTGACACGTCAGACTTTGCATTGGTATGAAAATCCTCTTTGTATAAGTCAATCCTATAGTATATGTTTGAGTCAAAGGTTTGTGCCTGCCTTAGAATTATAACCTATGTATCTTTGTTTGCATTTCTCTCTATTTAGGCTACCTTAACATCCAGTCTTGGCCTGACAACATGACTGACTTGAGTGTTTTCTCCAACCTAGTAACTATCGGGGGAAGAGCGCTGTACAGGTACCTGATGAAACAGCAAATGTGTTGTGAATATTTCAGTAGTAGCACAGTGGAATATGTGTTTAACTGAAGTTTTATGTACTAATATTATAGAACAGAATAAAATTTTCTTTTATTGTCCCTCAATAGGACAATTCAGGTGTACCAGCAGCAAAGTGACTGACTCATAGGTGCATTCAGATTCACATAGTTCATAGGAAACAAGGGAGTTCTTACAGAATTTGTATTAACTTGACATATTGCATTATGCACTTAGTTCAGCAAAGACATTCTGCATATATACAGAATATGCAGAATGTACATATGCAGAATGTCTTTGCTGAATTAAGTGCATAATGCAATGTTCTGGGCAATTTTAAAAAGTTACACCACACATAAACAGAGAGGACTCACAGCTAACCTCAGTTAAGAATTTAAGCTTTCTCATGTTGTTGAGAAAGAAAAGTGGGCTGAACCAAAGCATACACAATTTTAACAGTAATGTGGTACATTGTTCACTCTGCTCTTGGCTAAATTACTCACTTAAAACAATGTCAGCCTGAAGCATCTAAGAGAACATGACTGAACAAACTTGTATGAGGAGAACCTCAGATAAAGCCAGGAAAGAAGATTGTTCATTTGCAAACTGAAAATGTTTGCAAATGAACATTTACAAACATTTTTGCATGATCCCTTTGCTATCAAAGGGCAGCCCTTTAATAGCAAGTTTAATTGTTTCACAAAACTACTTACATTTATATAGCCAGTCCATTAAGTTGTAAACATGGATATTTTTTATGATATTGAGGTTGAGAATACAAATATCAGGTTGAGAATACAAATATCAGTTTGCTTATAAATCCTAATTACAACTGTTCAACACTGATGCAAAAGTGTTGGATTCAGATTGGCAATAAAATGCTGTTTTGGTTGTGGTTGTGGTTGTGTAAGGCTTTATGTCAGTTTCCTTTTGCATTTTTTCCAACTTATTATAATATGGGATTTGTTTTGCAAAATATGGAATATTCACAAAATTGGATGAACTAGGAACAGCTCAATAGTTTACAAAATTTTATTATATTCTATATTATATGAACTCTCAACAACAATGAAAGACTTATAAATTTGTCACTTATTATTTGCAGTAATAAACTATTGGCATTTAATGTAGCTTGGTTCATGCACATAGATTTTTTTTATACATAAATCATTAGTGGATGATTTTTCCAACTCTAATTATCACTTACAAAGAAAACTACTTGGAAATGGTTTTGGTCATGATTTTGTTTTGACATTTGGAGACTCTAGTCGTTTTAACCCATCTGATGGAACATAATTATTTATCACTTACTTTTCATTGCCTTTTGGAAAAGTGCTTGGAAACGTGTAGTGACATTTGGATGGTAATATTGTAAGTCATGTCTGATTATATACTGCAGTCTAGGTGTGTGTACGTGTGTGTGTGTATCTTTTTAAAAGTGTGGTTTTGTGCTGTGCACCTGCATGCAGATGAAAACAGCAGGAGAAATTATAGCCTGCCTCTCACCTTTGCCCTGTACTTGATCCTGCGTACTCTGTCTGTCTGATGGCACTGACTCCCTGCTGCTTTTCTGTCATATTTAAACTGTAAGTGGAGCAAAAGGAACAACATATGGGGGAAAACTTTTAAAAACAAAAGTAAATAAAGGCAGAGGGGTTGTTTAACTGCTTCACATTGCGGTAATTTATTTGCACTTTAGACAATGTGGTGGCGACGGTGGTAGGAGTTTGCCCTGTGATCGGTGGGTTGTTGGTTTTTGAAACATGTTTTGAGATCGGGAACACATTGCCTTGTCCATTTATGTAATTTAATAAATTAGGAACACACAATGCCATTTTACAAATGATTGCAAAAGACACAAATATTTGACTGTAATAATGCACACTATAAAACAATTCAGGGATTCATATAATGTATTGAGTTTATCTAGTGTAGAAAAAATATTTTATAAGCACTTACAACATCCCCTCATATGAGATACATGAAGTATATTTACTCTAGACCTCCAGATCATAAAAGGGACACTTTAAAACTAGCTTCTGTCAAATGTTTTATTGGGAAAATAATTACCTTTGGTAAGAAATAAATGCTTTGTCTTGTGCTTGTGAGGACCTGATAGTAACACTGCTAAGATGTGAGTTTATAAGCAAGAAAAGGGGATGAACCTTGTTGGCTGCAACATCATCTGCACAATTAAGGCATCTTATTTGTAAATGTGTCCGAGTTAAAAAAGAAGAAAAAATAAATAAAATAAATGTGAAAACCCACCTGTGTAATAATTTTTGTGCTTTTTGGGCCACTTGCTTAGATTGGGGGATGCTCATTAAAATGTGCTTTGTGCACTTATGCCTTGGGCTCGAATAAATATTAACTCAATAAAATTAACTTATCTTCAGTAAACTGTCCTGTTTTCTCTCTCTCTTTTTCCCCTTTCCATTCTGTATTCAACCTCAACTTTTCTACCTCTCTTCTCATATTCCCCCTGTTCCTGTTTGGCCATGTCTTTCTTTCACCTCCACCTATTCTGCCCTCTCAGTGGGATTTCCCTGTTGGTGTTAAAACAGCAAGGCATCTCATCGCTGCAGCTTCAGTCCCTGAGAGAGATCAGTGCTGGGAATGTCCACATTGCAGAGAACAGCCAACTCTGCTACTACAGCACTGTGAACTGGACAAGACTCTTTCGTGCGGGTAACCAAAATGTCCTTATCCGCAGCAACAGAAGCCCACAAGAATGTGGTAAGTTTATAGTTACATCTTAGGAAATGTTTTCTGTCACTTAAAATAAGATTGAAAAGTCAAGTCATTACCTACAAAAGGCACATATAATTTCAGGAATTAAACTAAGCTACAACTGTCAACTGACAATTTCATTGTTAATTACCATAAACATCTCGGATTTATTTCTGAAAATAATTTAACAGATCACAAAAATGTTAAAACCAAAACAAATCAATGTCATCCTGTTAAAGTGAAGAATTTTTGTTGACAATTTTTTGTTTTGTTACTTAAAAGAAACTGTTATTTCAAGGTCAATTATTCAGCATTGGATAATTTTATAACAGCTAAACTCTATTTCAAAGCAACTTGTGATGGATTTTATCTGAGGGTATCAGAGTAAGGAAGGAGAGAGATGTGTAAAAACAAAAACAACATTGTTAATTTTTTTGTTTTTTGAATATCAGATGTAATTTTCCTTGCCTTAAAAGTTATGCATTACTTTAGGTTGGTCTGTCACATAAATTGCAATAAAATGCACATATGTTTGTATTTCCAATGATACAAAATTAATTTTTGTGTCCTTGTCAACATTTAATTTCAACATCACAGCTTTCAGTCTTTAGACTGTCATCACATATAAATTTGATATGGTTTCAATATGAAGTTTTGGCTACACAAGATTCCAAAGCAGAAATACATTTTGATGAAGAACAAGTTAATTTGCAAGCAATTAACTTGATAGTTGTGTATACCACTACAGCATACCGTGCTTCCAGAGCTTGTCCTGACAGATGTACTTCTGGTTGTATTGATGCAAAATGTCTACATATTACATCGTTATAATACTTAGATTTTCCTGCTTCATATTTTAGGGCATTGCATCTTGATAATTTGTTTTATACACCACGTCTGTTTCATTTTGCATAATCTCTTCAAAGCTTGACCCAGATTCATGAGCAGGTGTCTTTGCAAGCATAATTTATTTAACCTGTAAAAAGCTTCTTTAGCACAAAATATTTTACATTACAAAGACTCAAATTACAAAGGAGAAACTTCAACTGTTTGTTGCTTGCATTTGATGGTTTGAACAAAAAGTCTGTTGTGTGTGTGCATGCCCTGATCACAGGGTTTTGGATACCTGTGTCTGCAGATGTAAAGAAAGTTTTCCATACAGCACATTGAGCACTTTTTAAATACATAAAGCCACAAACGTCTTTAAAACATAATCACTTGCCAATAATGAGACCTTAAATCTGTAAAAAAAAAAGAAAATAATACTAGCTTTAACAGGTTTACTCTAAATGACACAACCCAAAAGTAGAATTTTAACTGCATCCCGCAGAGCTCTTTATCCTACACCAGGATCTGTGTGTGGACATGTAAGTGAACAAGAATCAGTGAAAATCAGGTCACATGTCATCGACAGCAACTAGTCTCCTCATCTCCCTCTCAATGTGAACATAATATTGTGGTCAAAATGATCATATTAAATCAATAAAATGATGTGAACCACAGTTTTGCAAGCATGGACTACAAGGGACTACAATACTGCCTGACTCGATGGAAGTACATCACACTTAATCAGTAGACCTCTAACAGATTTCAAGAGTCACTCTAAACATAGTGATTGCTACCATGAACCAATGGTTAACATTTGGTCAGTCCTACTAGAAAATGCAGTAGAGTCACATTGACATGTTTACCATTTAGTAATTGTGTTTTTATGTTATTTACATTTTTGTCACATCCTTCCTTCCTTTTAAAAACATTATCAGACTCATTGCAATAGGCCGTTCTTTCTTCCTAATGGTAGGGCTTTTTCAAGCATTTTAGACACATTTCAAATTGCTCTTTTTGATCTTGCAGCACAGCTAATGCGTTTTGTCAGCCCCCAACCACTCTTATTCTTCTTATTTCCTCTGTCTGGTCAGTTTACACGTGACACCAGATTACCCATTGAGGGGGTTTTTGTGCTGTAAAAGCCAAAGCCTTTATATTCTTCCCTAAAAGCATAGGACTGATTTTGAGTTTCAGTCTTCTTTGAACAACTGCAACATTCTGCTAAAATAGCATTACACAGTAAGATATCAAGGTTTTGTGGTGTGTCCTACAAGTGGTCAAAAGAAAAACCAACCTCATGTTTAGTGAAGAGTGTTGATTCAGTATTTTAACATTGTGCTTTCATGTGTCAATTTATATAGAAGTGTGTTGTGGGGAAACATGAGACAAAGAACAAAGATAGATCTATAAAGCAGAGCAGATGAGATATTCTGGGTTGATTGGTAGTGCATAAAAAACAAGACCTAACAGCATTTTTTCTACTCTTTTGGCTGTTAGCCTAAATTATATCAACAAATCTGTGTGGCATCTGCAAGTTCTTTCTGTGTCTCATCTGTGGTTTGCCATTGTTTGCTCAGCATTTAGATAATGAAGCAGCACAGTTCCCAACTGTGCTAACTGCACAAAACATGTAATAGTAATACACACTTCATGCATAAAGATTAATTATCATACACACAGTTTATACATTCACACAGTTTGGAACACAACAGTGTTTGTGTTGTCAACCATTTGATCCAAAAGGGATAATTATCCAGACATCTTGGTGTCTATTGTTTGACACTTTCTTGTTTCCGGAAGAGAAATAATTTAGTCCCCCAGCCTCTCACCCATCTGCCTTACTTTATTTATTCCAGTCTTGGCTTAAGAAATCTGTTGCTATGAAAAATAAATGTTTCATATGCAACACAAATATGCAAATATCATGAGGAGGTAGAAGCATTTCATATTCAGAATATGTTGTACCTTGAGACATTTAACCTATGTTTTGTCATGGTTTTAAACCAAACTATGGATAACCTAACAAATACAATATTGTTATATCATCCATTCAGAAATACATAATATCATTTCACTGTCTTTTTGATCGTTTGCCCTGAACAGCCAAGGACCACATGGTGTGTGACACATTGTGTTCTGATGCTGGATGTTGGGGTCCTGGCCCGAACCAGTGCTTATCCTGCCGGTACTTCAGCCGGGGACGAACCTGTGTAGATACCTGTAACCTGTATGAAGGGTGAGTAATGGATTTCTATACATGCACAGATAGTGCATAAGAGTATTGTGCCGTCAAAATTTGAATTTCCAAAACCACATAAAAAAGAACCTCATAAAAGCGCACATGCAGTCAGCACTGAGTAAAAACTGTTAATATGACAGATGACAGTATTTGTTGATTATTTTATATAGTATAGAATAATCAAAATATACTTGTTGATTATTCAAGTAATCAACAAGTTTCATACGCCTAGTATAACAAGGCTATAGGCAAACCTATATGCCTAGCAATAGTCATATAGGCCGGGCCATACTATATGCCTAACAATACTATCTACTAGGCATATATGCAGTCTTTTGCCTTGAGTTGTGCTGCAGCACATACTCACTCCTACAGTAGCCCTCAAGACAGTAAAGGTCACAGAGAGTTCTGGAAGCATTGTGATAAATGAGAAAGAAAGGAGTAATGGATATGTGGATTTATTGCAACTGATGTCATCATAAAATGTAACACTTATAAAATATTTAATATAGTACAACCTTAATCCAAGACAGAATTGGATATTTAAATCATAAATATATATCATTTTTTATTGATTTTTTATGAAGAAGCCTTGGCCTTTGCAAAATTATAGAAACATGGTTTAAATGTATCAGGTGCCCTTAATAACTGATTTTTTTCTGTGGATGTGTTTTATTAAATAGAATTTTAAGCACTGCATGGTGTTCTTTTCTCAATTTTTATTTTGTGTATTTTTTTCAGATGTTGCAGAAAATTGGTTAATATTTTTGCAGGTTTACTCTAGTCTAAAGTATGGACAAGAAGTAATTTATTGTGAAATGGATTTGCCAGATGTTTAGATTTTATTGATTTGCCTATTTTAATTAAGTGTATGTATTAATCAAATAAAAAAAATGAAACTTCCATTAAAGTAAGTTTGTAATTGGTAAAGGCTCTTTTGGCTTGCATTTCTAGGCTCCAACATAAATGTTAATATTCCTGCACAAATTCATCTCAGATTAGCTACATACACAATTTTTAATCCTTAATTAAGGTCATAAATGTTTTCTTCTGGAGGCACAAAGTGATACAACATTATTAAACCTCTTTATAATCTTTAGCCTTTAACCACAAACTATACATGATCAGAATCACATTAAAGTGATAAAACAGATATGTGAATGGAGACATAAACACCCACATTTGTAAGCTGGATATTTCCATATGTTATGTTTATTATTTTAAACAAAATCAACGACTCATTATTCTGTTTATGATAACAGTCTTGCACTTATTGAAGCTCCCTCTCAGTCTCCCAGCAGCAACATGTCACTAACATGTCTCAGGATTTTACGGCTCCAGAAAGAGAACATGTCAGTCAAGGGTCTATGGTAACTGAATATCAGCATTTGAAGTGGTGGGCAAGGGAGAGAAAAAAAACTCTGCAGCTGGAAGTCTAAAGGAAAATAAGACAGTCCTGCAAATGCCAAAAGCAAATCAAATTCACTTCAGCAGTGTGTCGACTATCAAAGATGGATCCCTCAACTGTGAGAGGGGAAAAAAAAACTATATATATATATATATATATAATATATATATATATATATATATATATATATATATATATATATATATATATATATATATATATATATATATAGTTTTTTTTTAAGCATATATAAATGAAATAGCTGAACCTGTTAGAAATAGGGATGCATGGGAATGATGTATATTTTAGTCCCTTGATTTTAGAAATAAATAGATTCATAAGTGTTATGAATCTATTATAAAAATATTCTTTATAATTGAATTTTTTAAATGCCGATCACATATTGAAGTGCTGTGTTATACAAGAGAAGGTTTTTCTTAACAATGAACACTTGAATAAAAAGGATGGCTAATTTTGTCCTGTCATTAAGGGAGAAGTAAACAGCAAATTGGACAAGTGATACTAACACAACATCAAACTATAGCAGGATCTGTCTGTCTAAAATGCATGACAGATTCAGATTATAATGAGCCTGGGCTCTCCCAACATGTTTTAGCTTAGACATATTACATACCTCATTGAAATGCCTTTAATTAAGTAACATGGCAACAGATATCTTCTCAAATCTAATCTAAACCCACACAGTTTAAGAGGAGCAGGACTTTACTTTATTAGAGCATAAAACTTAGCACACATTTAACTTCAATCATCCTGAACACATCTGCCTACTTTGAAAAAAACTGAGTTAACATATAGAATACGTGGTAGAAAATAAATAGTGAACAAGCAACGTTATAGCGACAGCTTTTAGTTGATTGTGAATCAAAGACCATTTAAGAGATTTAGGCTCATTCTACAAGGTAGACAACAACTGTTGCATTTGCTGTGTTAAGCCACTCCTGAATCAGATACAACAGAGACTTTCACTACATTTATATGTGTGTGGTAATTTTAAATAGTATGACTTTCACTTAATGTCTGCCTGAAAAGTTTACAAGAAAAAAACACAGTTTTTTTTTTTTTTTTTTTTTTTTTTTTTTTTTTTTATCAAGGTTTTTCAATTTTGATTAATTTTACTTTTTATACAAGTTTGGTTTAGGAACCGGGGAAAGTGGAGTACAATTTAAAAAGCTTTGGGAACAAGGTGCACCCCTGCAGAGACTCATAACATTAGGAGTCCCTTGATGTTATTGTCCTCCACTTTAAAAAGTGAGAAAAAATGCACCCTGGGGAGATTTTTTAATGACATTTTAGAGTTTTTTTTTTATACAGACTTGTCTTTGTTAACAGAGAATTACATGAAAGCTCCTTTTGAGTTCAGAAATACAACCTGATTACAAAAGTTCGGGAGGCCTCTTTGGAGAAGAGTCAGGATCTTGAGATGCTGATAGGGCAGGAGGGCTAGGCGTGTCACTGCGTGTCACAGTCACTGCTTGCGCACGGGGCCACGCCCTGCCTACCTGTCTGCCTACACATCTGTGCAAGTCTCAGAGTCTGTATCATTGACACATCAACCAGCCAAAGCAGCCATCAATACAACCCAATTCCCCTTCCTTTACCACGTATCTTATAATACATGGTGTATTTCAGTCTTTCTTTAGTTTGTGCTTTGATGTGCTTACCTTATCTTGTATTTCAAAGGCGTTGACAGCATGGTTTTTGTAGAATAGGATTTTGTAACAACACAATGCTATAAGTTTTTAAAGTTCAGCAAGGGTCAATCTAGCAAGGGTTCAGCAAGGGTCTGCAATCTAGCTTGTAGATGAAAAATCTAAGCATACAATCTTTGGAATTCTGCCTACAACCTTCCTTAAGAAAGTCCTACCTATCTTAAGGTAGGACTGAAAACAGGTAGGACTGTCTTAAGTCCTACCTGTCTTGCCTCTGATCTGATTATAATAGTAAACCTGTTTCTATTATTGGGTGTTTTCACCCAGGCTCTAGAAATGATTATAAAAAATAAAAAATAAAAAAAACAATCCGGACAAATCACTACTGCAGAATTACAGACCAGTCTCCTTCTATTCATCAGCAGATGTACTGAAAAAGTTGTTAAACAGTTAAACAGCTTCATAACAATGATCAGCTGGATTGGCGTCTTTCAGTCCAGTTTCTGTGTTTTCCAATGTACTGAGACAGCCCACCTCTAAGTCTCTATATTTACATAATTACAGACTGTGGAAGAACCACAGGATCTCAGTGCAGCATTTTTCACTGTTGAATATGACATAATTATTAAGGAGACTGTGTCAGACTCTCGGGTCCTGAACTTGACTGGTGCTCTTTCCTAAAGAGCAAGATTTCTTTATATCAATAGAAAACGTCTCCTTGTGATGGACAAGTTACATGTGGGGAACCCCAGAGTTCAATCCTGGAATCGAATCTCAACTTTAACAATTAATTTTGAATTTGCTTGTTTTTTCTATCAGCCAAAGTTTTATAAATGTTTCTCTAAAACTCTGCATGGCCTCAGATTCTTGAAATTCCCATCACATCATCCATCCACTTTGGAGTAGATCGACAAAACATAAAAGAAAATTGTGACATTTTCCTGTTATTTATGTAGATTTGTGTGAGAAACCAAAACTAAAGTAGAACACATGAAGACATCTCACTGCCTGAAAAGTCTTATATATCTTCCGGGTCCACTGCAACCATTACTAGTTCAATCAGGAAGCATACAGAAAATGTGTTTTACCTTCCCTTTCTCTTTGAAGGATTTATGAAGACCATGATTAATAGTAATTTTATTTTATTCCCAATGGAAGAGAAACTTTTTTTCTTCTCATGCTTTTGTTTCTATCACTGAGCAAAAGACAAGAACACCAGTTTAACTTTCTTTCTTCTATATTAACAAAGGCAAAGTGCCAACTCAGTTGCAGTGTGGTCAAATTTAATGACTTTTTGAACCACTCTTCTATTCTTCTACTATTATACGTAGATAGGAGAAATTGAATAATACCAACATAATTTAATCGACTTTGAAAACGTCAGCCATCCCCCCATATCCTGCACCTCTCAACTGTGTCGACCTCTTGGGTTACAATCCCCCTTACTCTTTCAAACCCTGTCAGTTTCACTCTGGATTAATTTGGGCAAAATTGATTGAAAACGATTTTTTACAAACTATGTTCACTTGTGAATTAGGCTATTGAAATGAATAGTCTGCTGCACAGTATTTTTTGTTGCAATAAAAATACCATAGTACAGTTCTAATGTTTATTTTTGTCCTTTCAACCAAGACATTTTTGAACAATCCTTACTGTTTATAAGAAAATAACTTCATAGCTCTTTGGCATTACTGCCACTATGACTTCTGTTTTATTTCAAACAGTTATTGTTTAATAATTATTTGCTCCATCTCTCTTTTTACTTTCTTGTTTCACAGGGATATTCGAGAGTATGCCAATGGCTCAATGTGTGTGGAGTGTGATGCCCAGTGTGAAAGAGCAGACGACGACTCTTTAACCTGCCACGGCCCAGTAAGCTTGCTCTAACCGATAAGAATACACAAGCACACGGAAGCAATCATTTCATAGATGGCTGCACTTTATACAAGTAGAAAACAGAGATATTTGTATACGCTGGTTGTTATCTGATTATTAAACAGTAATACTATATGGTACTATTACTCAGTGAGAAAAATATGTCATAGTTCTATTTTTCCTACAGGTGTGAGGAGACTGTGAATAACAAATAAAAGTAAAAGAGCGTTACAAATATCAATATAGATTTAAAAATGTATGATTATGGATGGACATTCACAACACTATCCTCAATTCCCTCCTTATGTGTAATATTTTGAGTGAAAATGTGTTTTTAGTTATGCTTATACTAATGATACAACCAGGTCACTCACATAAAAATATTATCTAATTGTTTCTGTGTTGTAAATGTGTCCATAAACAATAAGTGTTATAAATGTTTCCTTTATGTGTTTTCACTAAAATTGAGTTTTCACTGAAATTTGTCATAAATTGTAAAAAGAGTTGATGTAGGCTAGACAGATCTTGAAGTGAACAGAAAAGTATTAGCATGCTGTAAAATCCTTATTAAGTTATGATTAGCCCATTGGATTTCATTAGTTTTAAATGGTACCACAATTTAAGACTAATGAAAATTTCTTCAATACTTGCTGTTTGCCAGCAAGACAACCAATCGTTAGTTCTTGATTTTGTCAATACAAAGCCATTCAAGAGCTAATTTTCATATTTTATAATAAGAGTTTTAAAAAGTATAGTCTGTCAAAGCAGTCTACAGAGCAAACCCAGTTCTTTATGGAGGAATTGGCCAAAATTCCAGGAAGCTATTGAGAGAAGCTTGTAGAAAGAGCTTCCAACAAAAGCTGGAAGTAAATTATAGATCAATCAATCAATCAAATTTTATTTGTATAGCACATTTCAGCTACAAGGCATTTCAAAGTGCTTTACATCATAAACACAAAACACAAAGGCATGCAACAGAATAAAATACCAAGTGTTTTTTTTTTTTTGGTTGTTTTTTTTTTTCTTCCCTTTTCCCTCCCTTTTTCCTCTCCTTTCCCGTTTCCTTCTTCCCTTCTTTTTCTTCCCTTCCCTTCTTTTTGTCACAGAATTTAAGCGCCTGTTACCGCTGGACTCCGCCGTCCGTTCAAACACGGGTATCCGCCGTGATACCCGTGATATACCTAATATAATATAGATATTATATTAGGTATTGTATTATAGTTATAAATTAAAATCTACTGTTTTAGATTATAGCTAAATCAATAAAACTAAATTATATTGTAAATTTTGTATGGCAATTCTATGAAATCACAGAAATATCTGTAAACCTGTATATTATCTTGTGTAAAGGTGGCTTGCACAGTCTTGATTTACAAATCAATCACATGGAGGCATCCTTGACATTTACTTCTTTTATCTCGAGAAAGCCTGTTTACTGTTGAGGTGTTTTGTTGGTTTTCTTAGCCTCTTTTACATTTTTATCAAAATGCCAGTGCCATAATTGAGTGGGGCAATATGTGTGGGTTGACCCACAGTAGTAATAAAACATTTTTTAAATAAAAGATAAAGCACTTTGAGATGGTACCTTTCAAAAGAATTTATAATCTTTGCATTTTTTTCTCTTTTTTTGCATTTTAAAACGACTAATTTCAATTTACCTTGCTGTGACTTTAAATGATAAATCACTACAAATTAGTGCATGTATTCATTATAAGTGCAATTCAGCTGTGAGTATTTTAAGTTATATTTCAAAAATATTGGCACATGTAAACATATTTTTTGGCAATATGTCTTTTAGATGAAGAGCTTTTTTAAACATCTGTTTTAGTTTTTCATTATTAACTTTTTGTCTGAGCACCTTCATTTGCATTATTGTGTCCCCAAGATGGCTTGTTGCAAACATAAAAAAATTAACTTCTTTTGGCTATTTTTAAATAATTATTGTCTTCTTGACACTTCCTCTGAATTTGAAGAGTGCTGTATTAAACATTCAACGTTTGAAATGTTTTTATAGAATTATCAGGTTTGTGAGCAGCCTGATGGCTAAGAAGAGCAATTCGAAGTGACAAAATTTTATTATATTTTTTATTGCAAAGCTGCTGCTTCTGTACAGCAGTATTTCTGAATAAGGAGCTCCCATCCACTAGTGTTTCATTCAAAGACCCACCAGTGAATCGGAGTGTTCGCTGCATCAGAACTTATTCTTCAAATGTTTTTTCATCTCCCCTTTAGTATTAACTCTCTTTTTTTGGAAGAGCAAAACACCACCTCCAGTGAAAAGAAAAATTGAATTTGACTGTTTCCATCATGCTGTTCTAGTTTGATATTTTAAAATACGCATTAAAACATGTTGATAATAACACAAGCATTGTGTGACAGAGCCATTGTACATGCATACATACATACATACATATATACATACATACATATATACAGTACACACATATATATAGTACATACATATATACAGTACATACATACATACACTCTCTTTTTCCTATTTTTCATGGGTGATAACAGGCATTCAAAATGTTGGGCAAGATCTAAAAAACTTAACAGTGACACTTTCAATTTACATAATTATACCAGATTGAGTACATCTTCTTTGACACACAAGGTGTAAGAGCACATATTTCTGAGAAACTCATTCACACATTCAGCAGACACTTAGAAAATGCTGCCTGAGTTATTTACGAACACTCATTTATATAAACTAATCTATCCTCCTAGTAACAGGCATCATCTATGAAAGCTTTGAGAGAGTAATACAAGTGCTTGTTTACTTCTCTAAAGTATTTTTCACACATGTCGTTGGTGCTAATGTATGCATTAAGAGGAACTTCCACATTGCTGATGTATGTGAAAAGTAAATTTCTTTCTGACCATGCCTGTGTATTTGTGTGTGTTTCTGTCAGAAGACATTATTTAGGCCTGCTGATGTTACGAGACCTGTCTGAGAGACCTCGTCACCGCTCTTCCTTTCCTCTTCTATCCCCTCCTGCGCCTATATTAGCTCCATAAATCCTATACTAGTCGAATTGTTATGGTCATTGTGTGTGCTGTGAGCGATGGTTATTATCTGCCTGCTCTGCTCGTGCTGCTTTACGGTCTCGCCTGTTTTCTCCATTTTTTCTCCTCTTATTCTCTCTTTTTTCCTTATTAGACTTCTCAGACTGTCTCTCTCCTCTACTTGGTTGTAATACATCCATGTCCACCCTCTCTGCTTTTCTTCACTTATTAGTGTGCACTGCCGATTTTTATTTTATATTTCTCTTCCCCACAACTCCACTCTTGCATTATTTTTTTCACCTTAGTTATCTCTTCCCCACTCATGCCTTTTTGTCCTTATTCAGACATGAGCACAGCAGTAATTTACTAAGTCTGAGCTGCATGCAGTGCTAACAAACAGAGCATGCATTTATTTCTTCACTATACATTTCTATAAATGTAAATTTCTGAGTTAACTCTAACAAAAAAGCTCACAAAATTATATGTTTTATTTGGTCATTTATCTATGTCTTCAAGTAACAGCCACAAATTCATCACATTTTAATTGGTTTTGGTTTGATTGACAAGCCAAAAAATGAAAATGAAAGATTATATTTCATAAGTAAGAACCTGAAAATCATAGATGTACTTGTACTCTTGAGTTGATGGGAAGATGGATGCAGGCAGACACAAAGCTACACTGGAAGGAAAACCATTACAGGCTCCAAAAATTTAAGATTGGGATTGATCTTCACCTTGTTAGAAGAAATAAATCTGGAACACAAAGTCAAAGCTACATTAGAAACATTTAACCCAATGTACATGTGTTGGAATAATATCTAAAACGTGTTGAAAAGCGCTTTTCAGAGACTTTCCATACAATTTAACTGCACTTTAAATATTACTTAAAAAATAAAAAATGCACAGCATATTTTGTACAATCTGTAGCAAAAGTAATAAGTGAATTAAATTTAGTAGTCTTAAATTTGTTACCTCACATCCACATTGCTTCAGTGACTCTGATGCTGAAAGTCGTGTTTAAGGCTTTAAGCCTTCTCATTAGCTATAATGGCTACAGGTGCCTCTTCCATCCCAGTATGAAAATGTTTATATGATAGTGCTCATTAAACAAAGTCACACACAATAGAGCTGATATATTCATGGAGCTCAGTGCAGAGCTACAAAAGAGTAACTTTTGTAGCTAAATCCATTTTGAGATCAATTTAAACAACAATGCCATCAAGGATTAATGACTAAGCTATACCCATTAAATCTGTAAAAGTAGTTGAAATATGGTCCATAAGCAAAGTTAAAGGATAAATTATAGGCTAGAATAGTGCAAGCAGAACATAGATAGTTCTGCTTTGAACAGGAAGCAGCTGGGAAACCAGGGTTACTGTCTTTTGCAAAAAATTGAATGGCAGTTTTGACAAAGAGCTTGCAGGCCAGAAAATAAGCTTTCAGCAGACGACATTGAGAGAGAGAACTATCTGAACACAATATTTAACATTCTTATATTTTGAGATCTTTGTGCGAAAAAGTGCTTCAATGTTTCACCACAGTGAATGGTATTATTGCACAATTGAAAGTTTAAGGGGGGTTGTTGCCAGTTGAAGCATGTGATTTGTCAAAGTGGACAGATTCATCTCTAAAACGTATGGTTTAACCATGAGCAACAAAAGATAAAACCCATATACAGTAAAATCTATGCTGTATGTTCTGTCTTTGCAGCTAATTAGATAAACCAAACAAATGTAAAATCATCCCAGTAATGGAAAACCTCACAATTCACAATTCAGTGCTATAAGATGCATACATTATTGATAATATAGATTTCTTCAGGCAAATTTTGATGAAGATTTATAACAAGAATGGTGACAATACATTTCCTTTCCATTCAAATTTGTTATATTAGGTTTACCTGCATAAGTTTGCTATATATACACCAGTCAGTTTTCAGGAAAGTCATTTCACTATTATTGGAAGTAGATTTTATGGCTGCCTCTAGCTACGAACCAGAAAACAAATTGTTTTTTACACTGAAATTACTGTTACGACTGTACTAGATTATGTATTGTTTGAACTCTTTCAAACATAATTGTTTTTAGAAATAAGCATCTAAAAGATGAATGTTTTTTCTTTTTCTTTTTGCCATTACCCACAGGGCCCAGAACATTGTGTGAAATGCCTTCATTTCAAGGACGGTCCGAACTGTGTGGAAAAGTGTCCTGATGGCTTACAAGGTGCCAACAGCTTCATCTTCAAATATGCTGAAGTAAACAATGAATGCCATCCCTGCCATGCCAACTGCACCCAAGGGTAAGAGCAGTCTGTCCGAGGACACTTCAGAGCGCTGCGTTTAAATGGCCTTTTCCCTGCACTAAACAAGACATTCTAGATTTTTCTAATATGCCTCAATTTATTACAGTTTGTCAACAAGAAATGAAAAGCAAAAAACAGAGATGCTTCTTTCTTCACATTTTTTGTTAGAATGTAGAAGTACAATTATTGTCAAACTTTATGCAAAACAGGACTTTGTCTTTTTTTATTTTGTTGTTTTATATTTTAAGGCTTGACACCTTAAGGATGTAGTTTAACTATACATTTACTCAAAGTTAAAGTTCTCATGTTGTTTTTGAGAAAATTGGAGATAAGTTATTACAACTCAAGTATGGCCTCTTGTATTTAAAACTTTGTGAAAGACACACAACAAAGTTTTATTTTACCTCTTCTTAAATTGTTTACCTACATAGTATTTCACAATCCACTTCCTAACCCACTGATGAAATTGAAATGAAAGAGGATTTATCTACAACACAGGATTATTGAGTCTTTTTATGCTATGTTATTTTTTATATTTTAGTGTCATTCTCATTTCACTTGAAGATGTCATGTCATTATGTTCAGGAGAAAGTTTTGGAAAATGATCTATGTTTCATTTTTTCTCCACTGAATGGGCTATGGACTTTTGAAAGCAACTGCCTATGCATTGTACATACAAAATACCAATATTTTGCCAACAAAACAGCACCAATTGAAATTGGTTTGTAAGACACCAAGGCAAGAAGTTTTAGGATTTTCTTTGTCTTTCATTCATCCATTTTTACATAACTAGATTTCTACACAACTGGATGTTCATAGATACATACTCACAAATGCCCTACAATCCAAATTCTTCACATGTAAATGTATAATCTAAACATCAGTTTATGGAAATGAGGTAAAATAAAGGCAAGAAGTGGAAAATAAGCAAGAAGCAAAAACACATCATAGTGAGAGGATTCAATGTAGTAACCTGCCACTCTCCGCTGCTCTCAAGCCACTTACTGCTCAATGTAATATTCAACCGGGTTTGGAAAGACATTGTTTTGTATTTAACTCCACAGGGGGTTTATGTCACAGCCTCTCTGTGTTATTTTTCTTCTCCTGAGTGACAGTCTCCAGCTTGCTTGAGCATAACAATTTAGTCGTAAATGGAAAACTCTAGGCTGACTCTTTGTAACAGGTACAACCTCACATGCAGGCAGGTTTCTCATAAAAAAAAAAAAAGCTGATCGGTGGGAAAATGAAAGAAAGAGAACTGAGAGTCACTGTTCGGAGAAGAAACAGATGTTTTATGCAACCAGAACACCAACCACATGTCTGATTTTTTACTGCTTAATGCAGTAAAGCTGAAGAAATTTCCCCAGAATTTTGGAAAAGCTTTGGATTGTTAGTCTTAAATCCTTTCATAATTAGGGGACATTAAATCAAGCAAGAAAAATATTTTTGAAAATCATTTCATCCTTAATTTGCCAACGGGATGTTTGAACTTAGAATAATCTATATTCACATATATTTGGCGATCAGTAAAGCAAACTATCATGAACGAAAATGTCTATTAAATTCTTCTCCCTATTGCTAATGCTTGTTAATTATTTATCTGTGTGTGTTTATTTTATGTCTCAGCATCATTTCCCATTTTTTATGTTCTATAAAGATGCATTGGACCAAGACTACAAGACTGCATTGGCTGGATGGACAGGTATGATGTTATATTCTAAAGAGTACTTTCTCATTCTAATATTAAAACATTACCACACAGCAGCACACAGATGCACAAAAAGAATAACAGTAAGCAAAGTCTCTGATTAATGGATTGCTCTGAGCCACACTGCCCCTGTGAGTATCCTTAATGCCTTTCTGTGCGTGCTGCCGTGTATGTGTGTGTCCTTGTGATTTTATGCAATTCCTGATGAATTGATTGCAATTTAGCATTTGTTTTGAGGCGATGGGGAGAAAAGGAAAACATAAAATGTTCCCAGTTTCCTACAAATACATTCAAGACTTTAGAATTAAAACTGCTGGCATCACATTTTGGAAATATGAAGGAAAAGGGGTTAGATACAAAAAAAAAAAAAAAACACACTAACGCACACACACAATAATCTTTGGATCAAGATGGATCCAAAGATCACTCCTACAACAATTTATATAGTAATACAAAATCTATTTTAATGTTGACAACATATTTTGTAACATTATTTCTCTCACATAGAGGTAGTAGGATGGGTGGTGCACAAAATGAATACTTGTCTTGTCAACAGATTCACAGTTGCTATGATCTCTTAGTTTTCCACTTTTAAATGATGGCTTTAATTGTTTTTCTTGATACATAGCTTTTCCAAAGCTTTGGGCATTAATTAATAAAACCCAATTTTCAACTTCCCCACAGCTTTAACATTGGCCTTTTTTCTGTGGTTCTTATATTTTATAATTTGGTTTGTTAATTTGTTCATTCATGTTCTAAAACAAGAAGCTTTCACAGAACAGCTATATTGAAGAAATACTACAAAATACAAAAACAAAATGAAAATAAAAAATAGTGGTTGTATAAACAATTACAGACACTGTCAATAGGATGAAAGAGCTTTGTAGCTGCTATGGGAACATGGCTATCTGCTAACCTGGAGATGTGATCGGCTCTTATCAGATCCTTGAGAGCTCCTGTTGTCATGCACTTGTATCTTTACCACTGCTGTTAGAGTGAGCTGTTACACAAATCTGCTACCTGCTGCTGTGTCTTATCAGAAATATGTAATTACACAAAGCATTTCTACAGCCATTGTTCATCCTAGAATTAACTCACATCTTGTCTCAGGATTTTGTGCCTGTCTGCTTTGGATGGATGAATATTTTTGATTTACTTTAAACTCATAGTAATAACTCATATGGCATATCTCCCACTTGGCAATTCAACATTTCCCAATTTGTTTGTTCTGCTTAGAATTTAAACATTAGATATTTAACGAAAACTGAAGGATTACCATAGTGTGAAGAGATTTGTGGCTGATTTAGAACAAAGATGGGTTTGCACAGATAAAGACATAATGAGGAAGGTTTCTATTAGACAAATTTTTAGGATTAATAGAGCAGCTGTTAAAATGCCCTTACAAAGCAGCAAACGGTTATTTGAAGCTGCTGGTGCCACTGGAACCTCAAGGTGGAGGATCCTCCAGAGGCTTGCGGTGCATGAACCTACTATTCGGCCACCCCTAACCAGTGCTCACAAGCAGAAACGGTCGCACGTACGGCTTCACGTCAGCCGTACGTGAAGATTAATTTTCAAACAGACTTCTTCACTGATGACTGCTATGCAAACCTGGATGGTCCAGATGGACGCAGTAGATGATTGGTAGAGTGGATGGCCACCACATCCCAACACGACTGTGACGTCAGCAAGGAGGGGAGAGAATCATTGGTCGGCCCCTTCAGAGTCCTTGAAGGTGTGAAAATGACCTCAGCAAAGTATATGTACTTTGGGGGAACGACGGAATTATCAGTTGAGAGAAAAGTGACATTAAAATCACTTTGTATCGACAACAGTGTTTATTCCAATGGGAAGTCAGCCCAACCTATTTGCCAAATGACAGACTGTCATTTCTCTCAGAGACTGTCCATAGCACTTAAATTTTCAATCTGTGACAGAGAAGAAATAATAATAATAATAAAAATCACCACATCAAAAAATAAAATGTTTGAAATGAACAATAAGACAATCAGTAAAATACAATACAAAGTTACTCTATAAAAGCTTGCAAAATTATTTCAATATAACTTAGAATTATAGGCAGAATTCTTTTTGAAAGTTATTGTTTAGGTTTTTGCTTTTTAGGAAGAACTAGCTCAATACAGGGATTTTTTGTTTTACTTTATTTTTAAAAATTAACTTTGATAATACCTTTGATTTTGCTCTTATTTTAATACAGTTTTAGTTTAACTCCTATTTATTTAAATACAGTTTGAATGAAATGAGTGAAGATGATGTTTATCCCTAAATAAGGTTTTCATTCACTTTTATAGGCATATACCTTTGAAATATCCTGTATGATGTTTGTTTTTGTCCATTTTGATAAGTAATCAATTAATAAAAATTTGTGCCTCCATCCTCCATGCTATTGCTAAGCAAGACTTCCACTCCATAAGATTGCTTACTTCCTGCTCTCAATTCACTCATTCCCCCTTTTTCCTACCCTGTCTTCTTGTTTTCAGAACCCCTCTGATTGCTGCTGGAGTGATTGGTGGCCTCTTCATGGTGGTGATCATGGTATTGAGCGTAGCAGTGTCTGTGCGGCGGAAGAACATTAAGAAGAAGAGGGCCCTTCGGCGATTTCTGGAGACTGAGGTAAAAAAAAAAGAAAGTAGTAAAAGTTAAAAGAAGGGAAAATTAACAATTGTCCAATATGTAAATGGATTAAGGATGTCTAAAGTAATTCTGTACAGTTACTCTGAAAGCCCATGCAACCCAATTTCAAAATAGTTCAGAATTAGACAGAATTCTGTGACCGTTATGGTTTGCTCAAATTTTTCTTTGCTTTTTAAGAAGTACTAGCTCAATACAAGAAAAAAAAATCTAATTTTTTGCTGTGTTTTGTTTGCTCCATCAAACAAGTTTGTTTGCTTGTTTGGTGAGGAAAAGCTGAATGAACACGCTACGTCCACTCATGTAGAAAATAGGAAGAGGCTTGAGAAAAGACAGGGTTAAAGGGAGACACTATGTTTTCTAATGGGGATTTCAGAAGTTAAGAAAGTTTCAGAAACTCTGCTCAGCTCTTGACTTTGGCACAGTATGTTGGAGAGGACACTTCTTTTAGGAGGAAATAGCAGACTTTACCATTAAAATAAGAGAACACACTCTTACTCTTTGTTAAAACCAGAAGAATGCACTATCATAAAAGTCACTTATGTGTCCACATTGAAAATTAGGTCTTATTTCACAGCTTTTTATCTCTTCTGGATTGACAAGTATCACTAAAGTGTCTCAAAAAAGCTTTGGCAAGATGTTCTTGTACCACTTGTACAATGCAGCATTGTCATCAGTAAAGCATTGACCTAAACAGATTTCTTTTTCAGATTTACATATATATAATAACAACTGGAAAGTTAAAATACTTATAAGATTATGTATAGTTATTAAACTGTCATAAAAAAAAACAAGTTATTAAAGTCACTTGACAAAAAGACTTGTTGAAGTAGTAATCCAAATTAGTCTTTCAGTAAGTATTTTCTTTTCTGGCAGCATAAAATAAAATGTTGCTTTTAAAGGATACTGTAATTTCAATACTTTTTCGTAGAGAGACTGTGTAAGTGTGTGAGGCATTGGATGTTGTTGGAAGACACGCATATGACTGACCCACATGAAGACAACCACATTCCCGATATACATCATGCACGTGATGCGCAAAACCAGCACAGTGCACCTGACCTACACAAAAACAGGCCACATGAATGCTATGCACATGACACAAAAGAACAACGATGCAGCACCATGCAATTGTCAGTTTCTGACCGACACAAACTTGACAAGCAAACACAATGCATTTAGCGCACAACAACAGGACATCAGACACACATGACCAAAAGTAATTTGTTTAATTATGTTTTGTTTTGGCAACTGTTTTGAACAAGATTTAATTGTTTCAACAGTTTGCTCATTTTTAGCTAGCATCACTACAGAGTCACAGCTTATGGAAAAAGAGCCAGTCACCAAAAAAAGAAAAGTTAACTAACCAATTAAATTTTTGTTTAGGATGTTAGTGAACCCACAGCTACAGTTATCCACATATGTATGTGAAGGACGCTTTGACACAAAAAGACATATACATAGGTGCAGTTAATAGTCTGTATACTATGATATTATTATTTTTTAATCAATTTAACAACCAGAAAATGATTGCATTGCCCTTCTTAAGTTGTAAAGTTGGCAATCCAATGGCATTTTTAAAGTACTATAATTTCAGATATGTTTTGACAAAAATGTTTTAAGATACTGCAGATTTTGACATTGTTTTTAAACACAATATACAAAATAAAACATACAAATTAAGATGAAATATAATAACATATTGAATATTGATTCAGGGAATATGGGAAAGCAAGTGTTTGGTTCAAAAAACTAAATAATTCTGGTAACATTTAGATCCTTAGATGAGGGCGATGAACTCTTACTTTGAGATTTCTCCTGCGGTTAGTCAGCAGTCAAATATTGTATTGTTTTACAGTACAGTTTTGCTGTATTTTCAGTTTTGGGTGGCAAAACTGCAGAGGTGCAGCATATTCAGCACCTCTATTGCTGAACAGCTCCCAGCACTGTGAAATAGAATTCTGTCTTTGTTTGCTGGACCCAACCGCTATAAAAAACATCTAGGTTATGTTCTCTGTATTTGTGGTGCACCACCCCTCTTGTTTCACACAGCTTAAGCTGATTTGTTATTCCATTTAAATGAAAAATGGCTATTGTTTTTAATCAAATGGTAACCCATGAGCCAGAGGAACAGTAGCTGTAGACCTCAGCTAGTCTGATAGATGCTTCCTCTGTTTTTCTGTGCAAGCTTGCCCTGCCTCTCTAATCTTCCAACATGTTCTGTAATTCTCTTCATATTGCTCCCTCACAACGCTTTAGCACCCCCTGACTAATTTAGCTCCTGGCTTCTCATTTCAATGTCTTGTTGTTGTTTCTGCCATTGTTTTTAGTACCTCCAGTCACATGCTTTTGAAGATGATCAAACAGCAGGGTAGCTGTCTTTACATGATAAAAACCACTGTGTCATCAGCACAAGGATGGAGAGCTGCATCACGAACATTCTGATCCATGTTGTAATTTGAATTTATGAAATGCATTGGATCCATCGCAAACCGTTTGTGACAATCGCATACAACCTCAAATATAAATTTTGGTAAAAGTTTTTAGCATAATTTTAGTAAACTCAGAATAATTCTAACATGATGGGGATGAAGCTTTTCTTTCACATTAATCAGATTTTTTCAGTTATCAACAACATATCTGACTTTTTTTATTTCAAAATAGTAAGCATGACTCAAAAACATACTTTGTTCTACATGTTGATGTCTTTTCTCTGTTTTGTGTGTGGATTTAACTCCATGACTTTACAACACTGAATTGAATGTCTTGTGTTTGTGGGATATGTGCTTTTAGTTGGTGGAACCTCTGACTCCCAGTGGAACAGCTCCTAATCAAGCCCAGCTTCGCATCCTGAAAGAAACCGAACTTAAAAGAGTAAAGATCCTTGGTTCAGGAGCCTTTGGAACTGTATACAAGGTAAAACGTGAGCTTTTTGGACTTTTAAAATATGTGACTACAATTTGGGATTTTGAAAATAATTTCATATAAAGTAATGATATAAACATATGTTGCAAATTTATTGAAAAATGTTTTTATTCTTTTGGAATTTAGACTACAAATGATTTGTCCTCTGAATTGCTCCACCAAACCCTTGAAAATAGATAGACAGCACTTTGCCTGAGGATTTCAGTCTACAAACTGGTTCATATGTAAGTGAGAGGTCATATAGCACATGTAACTCATGTGATGCCAGACAGTCACACATTATGATGAGCGGAAGAGATGGATATCAGAATCATTAATGACAGCATATTTGATGAAAAGCTTGGAGGTGTAAAATAAAAAGAATAAGTAATAGGTGACACTGGGAGCCCTGGGGTGACAATGAAATAAGAGGGAACTGAGGTCATTGCCAGTGCAATACTGGATGAGAGATTCAAGCAACAAACACAGCTAAAATTAGAAAGTCTACATTATATCCTGGTGGAAATATATTATACTTTAGTATAAAAAAAAGCTGGGACCAGTTATTCACTACAGTGATTGTTGCACAAATTTTTAAAAGTACAATCAGAGTTTGAAATGTGAGTAAACTACAAGCATAACATACATTTGTGAATGCATTTGTTTGAATATACAAACATTACATCTACAAATATTGGAACTCATTGGAAAGATGTGTAAAAATCCATAAATACATTTGTATGCAGAAAATAAACAGCTAAGGAATCACTTACCCTTCTCTATATATGATTTTGGGATTTTTTTTTTTTTTTTTTTTTTGCCATCCTTTATCATCGTTCTAAATGGTTTTGATGAGCTGCTATTATATCATGGCCAGTTTCTTAGATAGCAATATCAACATTCATCTGTCATTACTTACATGAACAGAATTTACTTAAATGTTTTGTTGTATTTATACCACAGGAAAATCGAAAGTCAATAAATTATATATAAACAGTCAACTTTAAACTTTAAAAAACTTTAAAAAGACAAATAGGAAAAATGGCTCACCCTAACATTTTAGTGCCAATTGCAGAACCAGAGATTTTGAAAAAGAGCAATTATCTTTACCCATATAGCTTCTTATTACTGAATTCATGCACTTAAAGTTTTTTTTTTTTTCTTTCTAAAACAAAAATGTTTTAGCTAGAACAAGTGATTCATTCAGTTTCAAAAATTATGCCAACAATTGAGGAGATTGCAATTAAAACTTTAATCTTCCATGTTTACTTGTTCATTAAGAGCATGTTGACAATGTTTTGAAAATACATTGTTAAAGTTAGGGCAAAATACCTAAAACAAAGTTAGTCATAAATTTAAATCTTGTTTCTGTTACATGATACCAGGTATTTTTGAAGTACAGTCACAATTCTGACTGTAGACGGTGAAAAATTAATAATACTATGAGACGTTAAGAAGGTAATGTTTTCACACACTTTTTAGATGGTTTGCTTGTTAAATCACATTAATCCAACCTGAAATTAGATTGTTCAACAAGATTCAGTCATTTTACCCCAGCCTTTTTCAAGGGCAACATTCCCTCATTAATACAGCAGGCTGAACATTTTCATACTCTGCCAATGAGAATATGAAAACCGTTGGGAGGTTGAGAAACTCTACATTTTTAATAGAGATACCTCTTGTTCTTCCAGGATCTATAGCACGTTTCTTTAACACAGCTTCACTCAGTAATGTGAGTTTGTAATCAATGTATTGGGTCAAACTTGCTTGTACTTCTCTTTCCTCTTAGGGTATTTGGGTCCCAGAGGGTGAAACTGTAAAAATTCCTGTGGCCATCAAAATCCTTAATGAGGCCACTGGACCCAAGGCGAATGTGGAGTTCATGGACGTGAGTATCTTGAAAATGATCTACTTCTGGTTTCCTGTGGAATAAAAACATTTATTTTTCATTTCAAACTCAAGTCTTACATAACCATTTCTCAAGTCTGGTGTCTTGTATTTCAAGTCATACTTGGATACATGTGCAGAGATGAAAATCACATAATATTTTGCAGATTTCAATCTTCTCTATCTCTAAAACCATTGCAGATCTAGAGACTTACATTTTTGTGCAATTTCTTTTCAAAACTACTCAAGCTCAGTCAGATTGTATGAAGAGAATATTTGAAAAGTAGTGTTCAGATTTTGTCACAGATGTCCAGCTTGGTTTAGATCTGGACTTTGAATGGGTTTGAGATATTAACCACACTGTGTATTTGTCTGCATGGAAGGTGAACCAGTGAGCCAGTTTCAAGGATTTTATAGCTTGACCTATAGGAGCATGTGCTGTTAAGCTAGTTACTGTGCATATTAAAATCTATTTAATCTGTATAAAATTTGTCTAAGACATTCTAGGAAGGGTCCTAGTTGATCTAGTGCACAATCTCAATTTTTATTTTTATTTTTTATTGTCAGAAATTTGACATCCTAAAAGTAAACACCAGAAAAATGGTTTTATGATACAAAACCCAAGTCAAAGAAAGCTCTGAACCTACTAAGAACAAAAAGCTGGAGCCCCATAAGTCACAGTCAGGGGTCCCTAAGAGCCTTACCTATGCAGACATACACACGTTTCACACAAGAGACTCACACCGGTCTTATTTATAAAACATTCACAACTTGGCTCATCTGAAAAGGGAAAAGGAAAAAAATCTAAATTATTACACCATCATGATGCAATGCAGATGAAATAACTCTCATCAACACGCACGCACACTGAAAGCGACCCACTTCCACTCATGTTTCGCACTTAGTTTGACAGTCAAAAAGGAAGAGTGTTTGAATGTTAGAATTACTATTTTTGTCATGATGGCTTTGATGAATTCCCCATGTGTGGTTAATTTTATGCCCTGCGTTTTTTGGGGGCTTGTCGAATCACCAGAAAATCAGAGTGACGTACCTGTCACAGCTGAAGGTTGCATATAGATACAAGGTGATTGAGTAAGGAAAATTGGGTTACGTACTGTGTGACCCGGTGTTCCAAAACTATAAAGTTCTCTCACTGGAGTAAGAAAACAGGGCATATTATCAAAATCCTGCATATTATGACCACTGACAGTCAAAGTCAGCAATTTGACCATCATTGTTACTAAAAAGTATATATTAGTCAGCTTGGAGGAACCTATTTTTCTCCTCCAAGCAGTGGATGAAGATGGTTCCTTTTGATCAATTGTACATTCTTCAACTAGGCATTGATGTCTTGTGCATTACTTACCTGAACACAAATTGCCAGAGGCAGTGTAAATGCTTTGGACAATGCTCTTTCAAATATTTTATGTCCTAACTTCACCTCATTATCTTTAGCTGGCAAATGTTTTCAAAAAATTCCAGAATTCCAAAATTTTAAAATCAAAGCAAAAAAAATAAAAAATAAAGGAAAAAAAGATAATAAAAACTGATTAAAGCTCAAAAAGTAAAGGACAGTTTAACACTCAAATGGTTGAGCAAAATTACATGCAACAATATAACTTTATTTTGGAACAAGTGACAGCTGAAGGCATAGCAGATGCCAAAATAATGATCAGCTTCATAAAAGCTTTTTCTTTTTTTCCATCTTTGAAATTGAAAAAATGAATAAATATATAAAAAAATAGTTTCTTGTAAATACTGATGATGCTACATATCTGGTCTTATAACCTATTTTTCACTAAATTTGTAAAATATCAGAGAATTTATTGATTTTTAGATTGCATTTATAGATTGGGTCTGGTTTAGAGTTTGCTATGTTACCAGTGCAAAGAAAATTAATGGGTTTTTGTAGGACTTTAAACATTGTTGGGCTGCCAAACTGCCATGTTTAAATGACAAGAAAGCAATTTAATAGGATTAATAGCATTTTGTATGCAAATTTTCAAATGTGTGCATTAACATTGTGCATAATAAATGCATGTTTTGCAATAGAAAATGTTTCTATATAGAGAGAAGGGCACAATAAAATTACTTTTGAAGCCAAATTTCTGCTTGAGGGCTTGCCTTACTTACAACAGGTTAAATTTGGTCTGTCCTTCAAAAGATTTTCTGTTCATTTGCCTTGAAAAGAACTAAGGACCATAGTTCTTTTCATATGTTTATTATAAGCAAATGACAGCCTTGCAAAAATATAATTTAAGTAAAAAAGAAACTATAATTAATAACATGAATGTGGAAATAAAATATGTTTAGTGGATCATATACTTTTCTCTTTGAGAGAAATGTAGTGATTTAGCATTTTGTCAATTTTTTTATTTTTATAACTTTTTATATTGGTTGATCTCTGTCTCTAAAGTCAGAATGAGAACAAAAATTGCCGGTGTATATAAATAGTGTATGTAAATATTTGGTTTCAGCTGTATGTTTTTTTCTGACTAAGCAATGACATTAGAACCTCAGGGAGGTCACTACAGCTTCATTTTTTTAACATATTATCTGGATATAGTGACAATTTTAACAAATATAAAAAATTTTAATAAAATATGTAAAATTCTTTAATGAAGAAAATATGTTTACTGCAGCTTTAATAAAAAAAATTAAAAAAAGAAAAGGGGAGAAATATTGAAGGCTGGTAAGTTTATATCCTCCTGACTGTGTGCTTTGCTTCACAGCTTTTTGTTCAATAATTGTCAAATTGACTCAAAAATTTACACCTATCAGTTTGTGTATATACAGTTTTCAATCCATTTTAATTATATTCTTGCCGTTAGCATCACTTTATTTAAAAAGAAATGTTGAAGGATGTGATCCACGTGATCACGCGTAATGTTGCAGGCCAGAGATTTGCATTTCTTACATTTATACAAGACATCCACAGAGTGAAGTAAACAACTAGAAAGAAACCATTTTTTGCTAAATTTCCCTGGCAGGTATTAATGATTTACAGCAACCCCCCCTTGCTGTATTTATCACATCTTCATTTTACTATGAAGACCACAAAATGTCTTGAAGTAGCAAGTCACTTTGATCTTTGCACTGAATAGAATTCAACTGTTTTTGACTGAGCGGATCGTTGCTGCTCACTTCAAGAGGAACTTCAGCCTAAAAGAGAATAAGGGGCCCTGTGATCTCCAACAGTACAGTCTACAACAGTAGACATAATGAACGCTTCAGGAGTGTGAGAGTGTTTGAGCATTTGTCCTTAACAGGAAAAGTGTCTTTGCACAATATGACATTTCAAGATTAAGGTTTATACCTCTTTCTGATTAGGATTTATCTGAAAACATTTTAGCTAACTTAACTGACTGACTTCATTTTCTCTTATTTGCTATCAAAATGTTTCACTCTATTAAAGGAACTTTGATCAAGGTGGTGATTCCAAGGGGCTAAATGTTATCAGTTTTCTTAGACTTGAGATATGGAAATAAAACTATTTACGAAAATTCCTTTTTCATCTAGGTCATTATAATATTCCAAAAGGTTTGCAAATACACACTTCCTTTGAAATCATCTGTGGTGTCAAATATTAATGAAAAATGTAGCCTCTTATTTTACATGTTTTTGATTAGTTTACATTACTAAATTTACTGAAGAAGTAGTTCTGAGGAAATGCAATAACAACATTGGTGTCTTTGCATTTTTAAATAAAATGTGGTACAAATGTTATATAACCGGAAATTGAACACTTTTCAAAAACTACTAAATGTCTTTCATTACATTGTTTTTCAAAAGTAGTAAACCACTTATTCCTGCTTAAAATTCATTTGGAAACATCAAAACAAAGGAATCCTTTGTACATCATTTTGTACAGCTATACAAACTGATGTGCTTTTTTCTGAGGTTATGAATTCATTGATAAAGCACATCAAACCAATTCCAATTTTTTAATATTTACACAGATTTAAAATTGAACTGCATGAAGGTCAGTCAAACTATCTGACTCATAAAAACAATACATTTCTTACACACTACTCCAACTGAATTAAAACCAACCATTCTTTTTTTTTAGTTTAGTTTTTTTTTAGTTCTCTACCACTGGACATATATACCTAAGTAATTTAATTTCCTTGTGTTTCGAAGCAAGCTTTGACAAGCCGTGCCTGCAGTACCACATTATTGCTTAGTGTAAATGTGTCTTTTTTTCAGGAGGCTTTAATAATGGCTAGCATGGAGCACCCTCACCTTGTCCGGCTGTTGGGTGTCTGCCTGAGTCCGACTATCCAGCTGGTGACACAACTGATGCCTCATGGCTGCCTGCTTGACTACGTCCACGAGCACAAGGACAACATCGGTTCACAGCTGCTGCTCAACTGGTGCGTCCAGATTGCCAAGGTAAGAAGTACTACACATTGTAGTGAAGGGGCTACTATAATGCTGAATTTCTTTGATCGCACTCGACGATACTAGGAGTATATTACTGGGCACTTGAAAGATGTGTGTTAGTATCTGCTATTTAACTTAATTTAGTGACTGCTTTAGAAAATAAGTTAGATAGATTCTGAACTGAGTAACTGTGTGTACTCAGATACATCAAATGAAATAATACATTTGAGCCTTTAAATCCACAAGTTACCTCAGAGGCTTTAGATTTGGCAGTTTTTACCCTGCTTTAGAATTTCCAATTTTCCTAAAAAATTTAGCTCAATAATTCACATACCAAGTGTTCACAAAGCTGGCAGCTCCCCTGAAAGATGACTGCAGCTGGACTGGTACCGGTACCTCACGGCTCCTTCTAGATGTTTTGCTCAGAGCTCCAGGATAATCAGTCTGGATTAATCTACACAGTAATAAACCATTGTCAACATTTCCCAGCAGGTCAATATGGTCAATCGCTCCCACTGAATCCTTCCATTGGTGATGTTCTCCACATGTTAGCGGCTTACCTTTATGCAGCTACTTAGATACGCGTGATCATCTACATACCTTCATCACCTTAAACGTAATCAAACCTCTTTGAAATTAATCTGCTGATCCATTTATGTTTTACTTATTTATTTTTTATGTGAGAATGAAATTAGCCAAAAGATGCATTCCGCACAAAACATTGCGTTACATCTTTATGAGACAAAAACTGAGGAAATGCATTTTTCACATTCTAGTGAGGCCTTTGAATCCTTTTATTTTTGATTTCTTTATTTTGTGTGTGTTAGGTTATTGTCTGAGGATAAATGCGGCTCAATTTCATTGTTTATATTAAACAATAAGATATTAAAATCATAAAAAAATACCGTAATGCATCAGGTTTGATTCTTGGTCTAAATAACACTGAATATAGTCAGATTTTAGTGTATTTAGGTGAGTTTTGATGCTTAGTAGTTTGATATTGCCCGCAGAAAAAGCTTGCGTAGCTGCCGCATATTTTTATGCCAGCGAAAAAGTGTACATATATTTACTCAAACTTTGATGCAAAGTAAATTTTTATACATGCCAAATGTGCGTAAAATATGGCGCCGCAAATTTTTTGTGCAGACGCACAGTTCAACTTTGGTGTAGTAAATGTCGGTGAGGAACTCACTGTTGATTACAGGAAGGAATTTGAATTACATATAGTACATTTTTCTGTCCTAGAATCAGAAGTTTTGTTTTATTCTGCACTATTTCACCAAAAAAAGTGTTTACATCCTGCATTTAACAATTGAATATTCACAAGCATTGTGCATTTTTCTGATTGACTGCATACAGTGTTTTAAACCTAGAGAAGTGTAATGAGTCAAAAGAAAGAGAACAGAGAATGGAAATGACTTAGGAACAGATGCAGCCTCAGATTTAATATCTTATACAAATACCGCTGTTGCTGTTTTTGGCTAAATCAAAGCTGGCTGTTCTCCAGTGAGTTTCCAAGGGAAATATTAAATCATCATCTAAATTTGGGACACACTTATCATCCTCCACATTAAGTTTTTTTTTTTCTTTTTTTTTTTCTCCATTCTTATTGAAGGTGATTCCATCTGGCATTGAGACTTGCAATGCTGTGTATATATATATATTATATATATATATATATATATATATATATATATATATATATATATATATATATATATATATATATATATTCCAATTATAATTTATGTTTATAATTATATTCCAATTATAATTTATGTTTTATTGACAAGGTAAATTGGTAGACTTATGTCATTGTATTCAGTACCGATTAATTTGTTAGACTTTATTGTGAAAATTTTTGGTTAGTTGGTATTATTACTCTTTGTTATTGTTATCATGTATCTGTGCATTGAGTCTCAAATGGTCTTTACCACTGTAAAGATCACTCTGAAACACTGTGCCTGTGATAATCTCTGCATCAAGATCATCATCACAGCCAATCTGAATTAATAACTGATCTGCTTAGAAAATCATACAAATGATCAGTTTATTTGGCTTACTGCAAATGCATCATCATATTATGGTTTTTGTGTCTGTTTTTACATTTATTTTGACTATAACAAACTATCACTTCCTTCTCATCATGTCAAATTTGTGAATCTCCTAGATAACACACTTTTTTCTTGTAAACTCATGCACAATTATTATGCTAATTGTATTTCTGAGGATTAATTTTGTGGTTGAGTGAATGCACCACCCATTTTAAGAGTTTGTGTATTTCACTATTATGCACGCATTAGGAAGTTGCATAGAAATCATATACATTTATAAGCCACCAACAAAGTTCATGGCATATTTTTCTTGAATATTTGAATGCACTTTATGGCAAAAATAAGAGCTCATTTAAATTGGTTGGTTTTCCGGTTGATTTGTCTTTTCACCACAGTATGAATATTGTAAAGACTATTCAATGAGCTTCATTGTTTTGAAGTGTTTGTTGTGTTTTCCAGTAATGGCTTTGAGGGGGTTTGAAATTATTGTCCTGCTAGGATTTCCAATTGTATCAAATTCAACTATCTAATTGTTTATTTGAATTGAAGGTAAATATTTCAGTGCCAATCCAATTTCATTTTTCCATGCACCTTCTGGAATGTACCAGTACATTTGTCAGTGAAACACACCTTCAACATTATGCTCCTGCGTCCATTTTTGACAGTTTGTAGAGTATTCTTAAATATAAAAGCCTCACTGTAAGTCCTCTAAAAATATCTTTGTCAGTCTAGTTATCTTTAATGATTGTAAAACCACACATTTGGCCTATCCAAGCAAATTTTAGTTGTTTGAAATGTACCTGGAGTGCAGTATTTTTAACATAATACTGGTCCCTGAAAGAAAAGCAATGACTAATGCCTACTTGTATTCAGCAGGTGAAAATCACTCACCAATGCTGCATCTTGATCATGTCTGTTTTCTATATCATCTAATCTAATGCACTCGTTTTCTTGTAGTCTTTTGACGATTTGTTTTTACCATCCACTCAATTAACAATTTATATACATAATTATTGATATTAATATCAACTACTGAGGAAGGTATTAAAAAATGTGAATCAAATGTATTTGTGAATGACTGAACGCAATGAGTGCTATACAATTACAGACAATTTACCATAAACCAATGACAAACATAAAAGTAAAAAAAAAAAAAAAAAGTTATAAAAACACATTTTATTTTCCTCAAAATCTTATTTTAACATTTTGTCTATTTAATCTGGTGATTGCTGACCCTTTGTTTGGTAGTTAATAAGGAATATTACTTTTTATATTATTATTCTTATTATATTTTTAGATCTGGTAGTTTATAATCTACCAGATCAACCTGAGCCACATTTTATAGACCTTTATCCTCTGTAATCAATACCAATTTAGATGCTGATATTTTTGGGCCTGTCAGATGATGGATTCACATTTTGAAACTTGTTTTGAATCTATTTTTACACGTCAGATTTTTGCTAAAATAGAAATTGTCCATCTATGTAAAGAATTGTTGACTTGTTGAAGGATGTTGAGATTTTTTTTTATTTCAGGCACATTGTTTTATGCACAGAGAATCTGACAACACTATATTAACAAAGCAATTTCTTGGACTAATGTACAGCAGCTACAAGACAGTAAGTTGTTATGCAGATATTCTATATGTTGTTTTACAATGAAGTATGTAAGCCTTAGACATTCAAAAAACACAGAGCACAAATGCTTGTTATTTGTACATCCTTTGTGGTCTTTCATGAGATAAACATCCGTGTAAGACCACAGGGAAAGCAGGTTGTGGGGCATCACTTAAACCCCAAAAGAGACAGCGTGAAACACAATTTGCCACAACATGCACTCAATTCCCTGCTTTTGGGCTCAGTGTGACAGCAGCTTCAGGGAGTTTAACTTTTGGGATTTAAAGAGGCACAATTTGAAGACTAAAGTGAAAATGTGGGATACAGCAAATATTGAATTAATCATCCATTGCCTATATCCACAGACCAATACAGGGTTGGGGGTATAAGGAAGATGCTGCCTATTTCTAACAACCATTGGGTGAGAGGCAGAGAACACTCTGGACATGTTGCCTGTTCATCACCTGGGCTAAATTAATCATAATATCTAGTACCTGCCCTATGATATACTGACGACCTTTACAGGGTGCATGAGGCTCTGAGAGCTGGAGATAGGTGCCATCTCCCTCTGGGATCCTACAAGGATGAGTGGAGATGGACAAACGAATGTATCTCGAGACAGTTCCTCTACTGACATTATCAGCTTTTCTCTGACAGAATGTTGAGTCACAGATTTGCTTGAAGTTTGATTATTTTATTATTTATTAAATTAAAATGTTGGAGTTTACATGTGCTGCAGCATGTAACTTCTATTAAAAGTAAAAAAAAAAAACATAAAAACAAAAACAAAACAAAAAATCCTTTCTGAGCTACAATCTGCAGGAATACGTTGTTCCCTGTCAAAATTAGCCAGTCATAACCAGGAGGAAGCTATTAGCATTGTCAATCACCTTTGTGTATGTGCTGTTCCATGTGAACAGGAGATGAGGAGAAGAAACAACTTCCCCTTACAGGTGAACTATTTATCCACAGTCATCGGTGCCTAGGCTTGCTCGCTTTAACATTAGTGAATTACGCAAATAATTATGCAGATCATTCTGATAATTGTAGCTGACCTAAACCAGAAAAGTTTAAATGGATTTGTTGTTAGACAGGAAGTTGAAAGAGGTTCTTTGTATTTTTATAGTGTGAACGTCTGGTTTCAACTGTATCTTATTTAAAAACTGTTGTCACAACCATTTAAACTGGAGTTAGTCATGTTTTTGTTCCTTGTGTATTTCTCAAAAGAGTATTGCAAAGAAATCTAACTTTTTTAGACTTGAGCAAGTAATGTTTAATATTTTTGGTTTCTCTTGAATGTATTTGAAAGCTACACACATTCATCAAAAGACAGAATGAT